AGATATTGATGTGTATATTCACGCATAGGGAAATACCCAGTTGCCAAACAGAAAAGAACTTTGTGGGGTGGAAGTTAACAGTAAAAGTATCTCCCATTCAGAGGATTTAATTGCAGTTGACCACATTTCTGTGCAAACATCTAGAAAACAAGTTTTTTTCATCCATATTAGTCTAGATGAAGCGGTTAAATGTATATTAATTATACTTTTATAATGCCTATGATGATTTACATTATTGTATTTAAGAAACATTTACTGAAATATTTTAGCAGTAGGGAAGATATTGCATAAGGGATGGTATCTAAATTTAAAGAAGACAAATCTTTCTTAAACAGCCTTGTTTTCTAGCAATGCCCATAACTGACTTGTGACAATTGCTCAGTGTCTCCATTTACAAAAAGTACTGGCTCTGCAGTTTTAGAAGCATCTCTTTTAAGTATATATTGCTTTAATTGTTCATATACCAATTACAATTTATCTAGAAGAATCTAATGGAACTTTCATAATAGTAACAATGACAGCATATTTCTAATCATGTGGGATATATTTTTAAATTTTAAGGAAAAGAAATGTTTAACAACCTGTAACCATTCTCTTCAATCTGCATTGAACAGAAAAACTAAAGTCATCATTTGGCTTCATAGCTCTGTATAAAAAAGGGAAAATAAATTAGCCCAATAATTTAAAAACTCAGTTGTTGAATTGGAATTTTGAAAATGGCATTAGATACATTTAATTCACAAAAAGTAGTACCCCAAATACCTATTGTGGTAAGCAGGTTTTTCCATTCTTTTTTGGCATGTATGGAATTTAATGCGTCTTGGATGTGTTTCTGATTTTCCTGTTAAACCTATACATACTGTATATTTAAGTAGACAAAATATAACTTCTATATAGTGTTAAGCACTTTACAGTGACTTGATCAGACTCATGATCAGTTGAGCACAATGAATTAACAATTACAGCACAGTGTGGCTAGCAGCAAAGTTTCTATCCATGGAGTATAATAAAGCAATAGGATCTTACATGACAAGATGCTTCACAATAAATAGGTTTCCCCAAATGAATGAGCTAGGATTGTTGCAAACTATTCAGCATCACAGATACAGCATCAACCAAGCTTTCACTGTACCATAAGTAATCTAACTTCTGCAAATGGATGAAAATACTGATGTGGCTAAGTTTGAGAAAGTTGATTATATGGTGGTGTTTAAAAGTTTGTGAATCCTTTTGAATGTTCAATATTTCTGCATAAATATGATCTGAAACATGACTTGTTCTACACACAAGTCCTAAAAACTAAGTATTTTTGTTCACTATTTTTAATTGCAACTTTTGCCTTGATTACTATTTTATGTATATAATTTACCTTCATAGTATAAAATGCCAAAATGTCATTCGCATTCAGTGGCAGTGTCTTCTAATTTTAATACAAAAAGCTAAAAGTCTGCAAATGTTTTTGTTAAACATATCTTATTAGCCAGGTTTCAAAACTTTCCATAGTAAAAGTTTTGCTATGTCTTCAGTAATAGTCTCCTGCCTATAATCCATTGCAATGGGTATTAACTTCTGTTTTTGCTTATACAGTCTCCATCTATTTGGAACCTTATTTATTTTATTTATATATTTATAATCCCACCTTATATTGTTTTTATAAGTAACAGTGGTATTAATAAAATTGTTTGGTACCCATTTCACCATGAAGTGAACATAGTACTCCTTCCTCCTGTTTTTCTCACAACCATGAGATGGGTTGGGCTGAGAGTAATTCGCTCAATGTCATCAGCCAGCTTTCATGCCTAAGGAGAGACTAGTTTCTCCTAGTTCCTAATTTGGTGCTTTAATCATTAAACTAACTGGCTCTCTAATGTATACTTGCTTCCAACCACTCCAGCAGACAGTCTTCCCAAGATCTCTCAAACTCTCTGTGTGAGGCTTGAAAGATGTCTTTTAAGTAAATGTGGTGTCTTTGGCGAATAAGATTTACCACTATTCACTACTGAATTGTCACTATTATCACAAACAATTGAATAAAACACTGCCTACTAAAATCAACAAACTTGAATTAGCTGTCCTTGTATATATCACTGAACTGCAGCCAGTGAATTTTGTTATGGATTGGTCTTGATTTTTGCAAGAATGAGGGCAACAGAGCTAGTTATTTGAAAATTTAAATGTTAACATATTAATATTACATTGCTTTGGTGATATGCTTGTAAATTTTACTTGGTTGCCAGAGATTGATGCAGTTGTGAAATTCTCACTTTGATACAATGCAGCACAAAAACTAATCTGGAATGTCTGTTAAGTTTCTTCACAAAACTCCCCTTTTTTAACTTTCATCAAAGTTACTGATTGTATCTTCAACATTTCAACATCATAAGAGCAACTTCAGCTGGGATGTGGAGCATGGTGCATTTAAGGGTAAACAAGTGCTCATCACATTCTTTGAAATTAATATTACCGATTTTAATTTTATACAGAGTTATCTGTATTTTATGACTTGTTATACTCCCTTTAAAAACAATTCATTCAGATACACTGCCCTGCTACAATAATGGGGGACTATGAAATTTCAGTAGTTAGTACAACAGGACGAAGCTTTGATTTCTTGGAATATCAATGCTAGAGCTATTCTTTCCACAATACTCAGTGATTAATTGAAGTGAGTGTTGTGTGTAGCCTTGGATCCAGAAAGCTTATTAAAAAGCTTTGAATTTGAGTGTCTTTCTCCCCCGCTTGACCTTTCTAGTTACTGAGAGAGCTTACCGACAACATTACTTGATCAGGCCATAGATCAAATATGTAACTCAGTGTTCTGGCAATGCCTAACTCAGGAAGTGAATGATGACTTCACTCAATGGCTTTATATACATGTTAAGCAGAACAAGCAAGAGTCCAGAGCAGGGGTGTCAAGGTCAAGGCCCGTGGGTTGAATCCAGCCCACAGGGTGCTTAGATCTGGCCCACAGTGAAGGACTGGCCTGCAGTGCCTCCATCAGTGAAAACAGCTCAGGAGGGGCTACCCATTTTTGTTGCCACAGGTGCCCCCAAATGAGTGATGTCAAGCTGGCCATGCGCAACCCGGCTCCCCAAGGTCAAACATAACCTTGAAATTGAGTTTGACACCCCTGGTCTAGAGCAGTGGTGGTTAACCTTTTTGGGCTCCTGTGCCAAAAATTGTGTGTGTGCACTTGCACGCACTTGTCTGCCAGCACCCAGAAGGCAATGCGTGCCCCCTACACCCCCTATGCACGCATGCGCAATCCCCACTTACCCACCTATCCGCCACCCCCTTACCTGCACTACGCCTCACAGTTGATTTGAGGCTGATTTGAGGCCTTTTTCGGCCTTCCAAAGGTTTGAGGAAGGCTTTTGCAGGCTGAAAACTAGCCCCGTTTCATCACTTCCAGTAGTTTTGGAAAAACAGGAAGTGATGAAACTGGGCTAGTTTTCAGCCTGCAGAAGCCTTCCTCAAGCCTTTGGGAGGCCAAAAAAAGGCCTCAAACCAGCCAAAAATCAGCTGTGAGGCACACGCATGCCCAGTGAAGCAAGTTTACTTGCAGCTCGCGTGCCGGCACAAATGGTTCTGCGTGCCACCTGTGGCACGCATGCCATAAGTATGCCATCATGTGTCTAGAGCTTGGTGGCACTCTATATCGGGAGTGCCAGATTCAATATCTCATCTCTCCAACATCAATTGGAATTGACAATGGAAAAGGAAAGAAACACCTAAGTACAGCATCTCCCAAATCTAATCCCTACAGGCAGGCAGTAGAATATCATGGCTGATACTTATCTAAAACCACTAAGACAGAGCCAACAAAATCCTGGCTCCTCCATAGTTTAACCAAAAGCATGACCAATGCTATCTTAGTCCTATGACCTGGCCTGACACCTGTTTGAAAGGGGTTATCAGAATCCAGAACCTTTGAATCTGTAACTGAACCACTTTGTGGTGACCCGTAGTCTCTCAAAATAACCCCAAACCCAAAACATATATTAAGTCCGGTAAGGCCTTCAACTTAACTTCACTGTTTTATTAGGCACAGTTTAAAGTCACAAAAGTTAATAATGAGGCTAACAAAAGTTAAAAAAACCGCATTGATGAGAGTTCTGAAGCAAGCCGAGATAACTAATCATAAACTCCAGGCAAATAACTGAGAAAAGTCCATGGGAAGAACACCAACAAAGATAAACCTCTTTCAAGGTAAACACTAATTGACTCCAGAAATTCTAACTACGTAGCTGAAAAACATATATATATATATATATATATAGCTCCCACCTGCAAGCCACGAGGAGGATCATGGTAATCTCCTCCTGAGTAGACATTGCTTTTCCCTGATCCTCTCCTCCCTGCATGACCTAGGATGGATAGGGGATGGGCCTGGATCTTCCTCTGACTGCTCAGCCGGCCTCTGCCCTTCCCCAGCCTCCTCCACCTCTGGAGCCACACTCCCATTCCCTGTTGGCTGTTCCTCCTCTTCCTCAGAGTCAGACTCCACCAGGGGCATGACACACTTTCTCAATAAGAGGAGACAGAGAAAAAGTTATCAAGTGAGTGCAGTGATGGCTTCTTGAGGAGGGGCAAATCATCCCCTCCCTTAAAGAAGGTGACATTACAAATAATTATCCACCATCTCCTAGGAATGGTACAAATCCCATTAACAAGCCACAAGGGGCATGAATCCAATAAGCAAGGGATCAGATTACCAATCCTGAGATTTTGCCCACTTACTTGGGAATAGTAGGCACAAAATGTTTTTATTAATTTATTTTTATCTGTTAAAATAAAAACAATGAAATGAAAAACAACTGTAGACTTTAAAAATATATTAAAAATGCAGGAAAATTATCTTTTTGCATTGGGTGCATTAAAAGAATGAAGAACCGAGGATGATCTACTACTTCCATATCTGTGATTTTCTAACAATATCAAGCTAGAGTAGGACATTTTTTAGAAAATCAACCAGAAAACTATTCAAACATACAGTCACATGGCTGCCACTGCAGTACTTTATTTAAATGCTACAACAGATGAAGTATCAAGTCATATTTTTGATCAGGCAATGCATGAAGAAATAAAGTAAGACTCAGTTATGTGGTTTATTCTTGCTACATTTATCGTTCATTCAAGAAGATTCTAATTTAACCGTGTTTAGTTACAGCATCTACATCACCATGCAAGGATTAACAATTCTCAGCTCTTAATAAGAATTGAACCCCAAAACATGTCCATAAATAATGGTTAAAATAGACTGGAATCTTTTGCTACTAGGAATAAATAATGGAGTACTGAATTTACACATTAAATTTTGGACTAATAAATGCATTACTCTTATTGGCTTAAACTTTGTGGCAAAACTTCTTCCAAGCTGCTTCGGAAACATTGGAAAATGTGGTCTCCTCACAGTGCTGATATAATAAATTCAAGTCACTTTTGATTAGTGTCCGTGACACTGGCTAGAATGGTCCAGACACACAATCTGTTTTTCACACATTAATTCTCATGGCAACATGTGAACAATAAAGGAGATGCAAAATATACTAAGTCAGTTCTAAGCAGACATTAAAATTTAATTTAGATTGCAAAAATCAACTGCTGAAATATTAGTTGCATTGCAAAGAATATAAAGAACATTATCTAATTAAAATAATGATTAAAATCATTTTAAAGGCATAAAATATAGAACCAAAAGGTTTCTAGCTGAATACAGCCCTTTCACATAAATACATCTTGAGTTTTTTGGATTGAACCTTATCACGTATTTTATTTACTTACTCTCCCTCATAATGCACTGCAGTCAAAATAGTCCAATACTGTACAAAGTAACTTTTGTAAATTATTTATATAAAAAAATAAAAAATTTGAAACATTCAAAATGATGATCATGTTTAAAAAAATTACATTAAAAATAGATTTTAAGATGACATTCTCTGGACCTTTTTACTCCATTCACTGAGATCCAGACTGAATGCTTTAAGGCAAGTTGTCAGGCTGGCATCAGGATGATATTTTTTCAAAAGAATACGATAGCAGAGTAGAGCAGAGTAATTGTTATAAATCAGTGAACTAGCTTCTCATGTACACTAACAGAACCATCTTCCATGCCAAAGTAAACCCGCTCTGCCATATTGATGAACAGACCTGTTTCCACCACTCCTAAAACAGAAAATTATTTTTAATTATTACTAAAATACTATACATTAACTAATATATCTTAAGAATGGTATAAATTCAACTGAGATGAAATATACTGAAAGCTTCAAAAATGAAAATCCTATATTAAAACGCTACATATACCAGGGCAGCATTTCTCAACCTCAACAATTAAATTGTGTAGACTTAAACTCCCAGAATTCCAGATCTTTGCACCTTGAATTGCTGAGTTTGAGAATAGTGCACCAGGGGAACTTCTTTTCCCTTGGGTATTCAACAGTGAGAAGGGGGAAAAGGAGTCAAGATAATACATTTTCTGTTTCTAACGGGGGCATCATGAGATCATTTACGAGCAAAAGCAAAATTGACATTTGCCCACCATCCCTTTTTTCTCTATCTGTATCTCACTAGTTTTTTGACAGGAAAAAAGCAAAAGAAATAAGAACTTTAAAATTTCCTTTTAAAGTTACTTCATAGTTTGAACTTCCTTTATTGTTCAAACAATGAGCAAGAGAAGCCAGACAAGACAGTTGCGACGATTTCTGTTGTGTATTTGTAAATCACTTTATGTTAGTCATGTATGTTAGTCATATAGGATAAGCAGAGTGAGGTTTTATGCCACGCAACATCCAAACAGTAGACCCAGCACTTCAGTAATAAGCAAGTTCCCTTACTGCCCAAGTACTTATGAGCTTATTTAGTAATAAGCAAGTTCCCATAAAGGACTATTTTGTAGATAATTATCTAACTCATATTGTGAAAGCTATTCAGCAGCTTTGCCCAAAACCAATTAAGACTTCAGACATAAGTAAACTGACAAAATGAGGAAAAATGCTAAATTTTGTATTACTGACATGACTTATTTTGGTGAAACAATATTGCCACTGGAGGATGCTGTAATGTTCCTAAATCCTTTGTTAACATGCCTCCCGTTTTTGGTTACAGTTTGAAAAAAATAACTTTTTTACCTATCAGCTTGCTACAGGTTTTACAGAAGTAAACCAAAAGAATAAATTTAATCTTTGAAAGTTTCAATTTTGCTCCAATCTTAGACATTGTTCACATAGAGGTATGTATGTATACATATATATGTATTATATATGTATATTATATATATTATATATGTAAATATATGTACATGTATTTATACATATGCATGTATAAAGGTTACCTGGTATCATCTTGATTGCTATATTCACTTCATTCCAGTTATGAAGTTTATCAAATTTCCAGTCCAATAAAAAATTTCCATTGTCTGTCACCACAGGACCCTAACAAGCAAAAAGTGAAAATATTATGCACAAGACCTTTTACTTTGAGCTATAAATTGTATCAGACACATCTAAAGTGACCTGCATTTATTTAAAGAGAGCTAACCTGCAAAAGTCATACACAAATTTGTTAATGTACTGTAACTCCTAGGCAAAAACAACAGTTTGAAAAGCAAACACACAAAACAAGAATACCTATCTTATATACACATTCATTTTCTTTTTTTCTAATATAACAATGGCCTGATTAGAAATTTGAATAGAGATAGAAATAAAAATACACATCTTTATATGAAGCAATAATTAGATGGAAAGATTGGAGGTTGAAAGATGGTATTATTAGCTATGTTTAAATAATAGGAAGACTGGTATTTGAACCATGTATTGTGACTTTGAACAACCAAATAATAAAGGACTATGTCTTAATATAAGCATGTGTATTGATACTAGGATTAGCAATGGTGACCTGATTAGAAATTAGAATAGAGGTAGAAATAAGAAATAGGGGGAATATTATCAGATATAATTTTTATATAACAGAATACAAGTAATAATTTGATGGAAAAGATCAGAGATTGAAAGATGGAATTACCATGTATGCTTATATCATTGGCATTAAAATGGAATATTGAAATATTGAATAACTACTTTTTAAAAACCATGTATATTAATACTAGAATTATATGTTTGATTAATATAACAACTATTATGATTATCATTATTGATGTTTGTATCAAAATGAATTATGTCCAGGGGCCACACTGTTCATTTATTGATACTGATGTATATTTAAAAATAAAAAAAATCTAATAACATTTGAACCAAAAAAAAAGAAAACCTATCCTCTTTGTGTCAGCTTTGAAATTCAGCTGCCACATTTAATGGAAGGGCGGGGAGGAGTTGAAAATTTCAAGGTTATTCTGTACGTTGTATTAAGAAATTCCAGTTGCAGTTACTTGGTTCTCGTGCTTTATGAAGTGTAGAAGTGGGAGGAGAGAATGTGGATTCTGTGTAACACACCAAAATACTTTCACTTTGGGAAATTGCCTTAGACATACCAGATCTGTTCCTAAATAAATCAATTGGAGAGAAAATGTCTCGGAGTGGTTGATATCATGGATACTTTCTGGATGCCTTACACTTTGCTTATCAGCATAATAGAAAGGGGCTCTGGAGGTCTTCAAGTCCAACCCCCTGATCAAGCAGGAGACCCTATACCATTCTGGACAATTGTCTATCCAATTTCTTCTTAAAAACCGGCAGTGACAGACCATCCATAATTTCTGGAGGCGACCCATTCCATTTGGTTAGTTGTTCTCACTGATAGAAAATTTGTCCTTAGTTCTAGGTTGCTTCTCTCCTTGATTAGTTTCCATCTATTGTCTATCCATTGTTTCTTGTCCTATCTTCAGATGCTTTGGAAAAAATCCTTTTCTTGTGGTAGCCCCTCAAATATTGGAACACTTCTGGACTTATGGTTGATGTTGCGACGAACCCAGTAGCAGAGAACAGAGAGCTCCATTCCTGCACTGGTCTTCAGCTGTTTGTGGGCTCCAAAAGGAGCCGAAAATTGCCTTGGAGGGGAAAATTGCCTTGAAGCTGTGGAAGGGTGCTCTGTGAGATCCCAGAGGAGAACGCAACTCCTGTGTGGAACCGCAGAGCTTTTCCCTCTTTGCCACAATGGTGAGAAGAGGCTGGTCAAAATGGCTGCCACAGAGTTGCAACAGCCATGGACACTGAAGCATTGTACAGGAGAGGAGAAAGTGGATGATATATGGAGCTGGATGAGAGGAACTATTTAAAATTTACCCCAAAAAGTTTTTGCCAGAAAAAAAAGGATCTCATTATTATATTAAAAGCAGTGGTATAAGCACCAAGATAAAAATTCTAAAAATGGAAAGGGAAAAAAGGAGAGAAGGCAATTTTCGGAACATAGAAAATACAGAATATTGGAATTTCAAAGAGGACAAATATTGTTTTGCAGAAGCATATTAAAATATTGGAACCAGATATTTAAAAAATCAGATTTTTTACTATTTTGGATTGATAGTTTAAAATTGGAAATTGACTAAAACAACAGGATTTAACTGTGCTATCAATGAACAAGACATTCCCAGGAAGCAGAAAGTAATACTGATGTGACTTTGAAAGTTTTTAAAAAAGGATTGCAATAAGATATAAGAACTTTGTGAGAAGTGATTTTGGCGTGGATATTTGACTTGTCTTTGGATATTTGGATTATTGGACTTAAAGAAACAAAACAAAATATTAAAAGAAATTAAATGAGATGTCTTACCAGCAAGAACAAAATGGAAACTGGGCAGAAATGGTGTCGATATTTAAGGATATTAAGGACAGCTGGGAAAGAGTTTTTAATAAAATGCAGAGCATAGAGAAAAAGCTGGAAAGGAGCGAGCGAGATGCACAAGAAGAGGAGGAATTAATTAGGGAATCAGAAGAGAACACAGAAAAAAATCAACGAATAGACTATGATGATGAGAAAGAACAGACAATAAATATAATAATGGATGTAATAAGCAGAAAGGAGAGTATGGAATGGAAAGAGGAAATAAAATTGAAAAATGATTCCCCTGAGAGAAAGATAAAAGCAAGAGCAGACATTTTGAAAGTTAGACAATAGAACAGGGTGGAGAAGGGAGAAAAGTTTAAAATGAGGTTAAGTTAAAAAAAAGTTTAAAAGGTTACGTTATGGAGGCAGACAGGGACAAAGATTTGAGAGAGGAATCTGGGAGGCAAGCTATGAAGAAAATGTTTAACATGTTAAAACAAATAAGAGACAATGGTTAAAGAAAAACGTTATTGTTTTTAAATTTATTTTTCCTTCTTTCTTTTCTCTTCAATATTATAAAGATATAATTCAATTTAGAATAAAGTTGGAAATTAGTGAGAGGGGGAACATTTGTTAAATGTATTAAATATGATAATAAAATTGTAAATGACTCCCCTGAGAGAAAAATAAAAGCAAGAGCAGACATTTTGAAAATTAGATAATGGAACAGGGTGGAGAAGGGAGAAAAGTTTAAAATGACAGGTTATGATGTGGAAGTAGACAGGGATAAAGATTTGAGAGAAGAATATAGGAGGGGAGCTAAATATGTTTATTGCCTTAAAACAAAAACAAAAAAAGAGATAATGGTTAAAGAAAATTTTTAGTTTTTTTAAATTTATTTTTATCTTTTCTTTTTCCTCCAATATAACAAAGATATAATTAAATCCAAAATAGGGTTGGAAATAAGAGGGGGGGGGGAATAATGGAATATATGAAATGGAATTTGAATGATTGTTAAAGTGGTGATTAGTATAAAAATAATGTATTGAAATATTGATTAGTTAAATAAAGGAATTTTGGAATTTAATATGTATAGAAGTACTATTAGTAGAGCTACGACATGTCAAATGTATTAAATATGATTACTAATGTTTTATCTGTGGCAAAAGGAAGGATATATTTGATGAATAAATTGTTATATTTAAAAAAAAACTATTAGGGAATTTTCTTGGGAATTGTAATGGCATAATTGAAAGTTAGAACTGGGATGGAATTGGACAGGGGGGGAAATAATGGTATACATTTCCTTAATAATAAGATGATGTAAGTAAAAGAAAGGAAACTATAATTCGAATGAGGATGATATTAAATATATTTGAATAACATGGGGCTTAGCACAAAAGAATCAATATGATGAAATATTGAATATATAAATGAACAGGAGACTATAATGGAATATAAGGATATGTATTAATGCTAGAATGAAATAAGATTATGGAAAAAAAATAGTTAACATGATTATTAATATGTTATTGGATATAAAATGTAAAACACCCAGGTGTCATATTGTTCACACATTGATATGTATGTAAAATAAAAATAAAAAACTTTAATAAAAAAATTGGAACACTGCAATCATGACACCCCTAATCCTTCCTTTCACTAGATTAGACATACCCAATTCCGCAACTGTTCTTCGTATACCCTTTCAAGACCAGAAAAATTGTTTATCTATTTGTCCAAACCTTTCAACAGTTTTAGTTCTTACATTTTCGAATGACAGTCATATTCTATTACAGCCTGTTTACATTAGAGTTGATTTTCTATTTTTATTTTTTAATTATGAATGTTTTTATTTAGAATGTATTTTACTGTGTCATATTGTTAGTTTCTTAAATAATTTGGCCATTGCAAAAACTAAACATTTCAAAAATAAAATATCTGAAAGGCACTGAGCTGGCATAGGCTGTTTAAAGCTAAAATTCTCAAATTGGGGGGAAGTTGCAAATAGGCTTCTGATCCCTCAAGAGAATCAACTTTACTTTTTTACAGTAGTGATGTTCTGCTTGCTAGGAATACTATTGTTGCCCAATTCTCTGTCTTCATTTTCAAAATAGTCAAGATGCTATAATAACTCTTCCTGCAAATGGAAAGGAGGTGGGAAAGATTATCTTGGTCTTTGAAATTTGCTAGTAGAAGCCAACTAGGAGCACAGTATTTTAAAAGTCAATCTCAAGGTTTACAATAAGTAAAAAAAAAACACCTGGAAGAACAAAGATACTAGTCCAGCTGATATGTGGCAAAACTCAATAAGCGAAGATTTATGCAAGTATAGCTTCAAGTAGCACTTTTCCCTGTTTGGCCCATCCTGAACCTCTGCAAAGCTAGTAATTTATTAATAGCAAAAGTTTACCTATCCACCTACTCTGAAAAGGAAAAAAAAAATCAGTAATTGTTTCAACTCCATACAGATTATCAATTTCTTAATGTATACATACAGCTTTATTGACAGCCATCCTCAATTCTGTAACACCTCCAAATATATTGGTCAGACGCTTAGTGATTGGCACATAGGCCATTGGGATGACTTCAATAGGAATCCCCTTCTTCCACTGTTCTCCAAAGTTTTTAGACTTTTTTCTACAAGAATATGGGTTAAAGGAAGATGTACATTAATATTATGATACTAATAACAGCAAGAATCTGCAAACAAGCTTCACCTTGCTGAGATATCCTGGCTCTACTTCTCAAAGCTAAAACACATTGCCTTTAAACAGTACCAACAAACAAAAAGACAAATGTTCAGCAGATGATATACAATTTCAGATTTGTGTGTTTCACTATCTAGGACAGGGGTCCCCAACCACCGGTCCGTGGACCGGTACCGGTCCGTGGAACATTTCCTACCGGGCCGCCGGTTTGCTGGGCGCCGCCATCTTGTTTGACGAGAAAGTGCTTCGGGTGAGCTTTTCCGGTTGGAAAGCGGCGTTTGGGTCCTGAAGGAATCCTCGCGCCTTAGTTTCATCGAAGGGGGGGGCTTCGAATGAAACTAAGGTGCGAGGATTCTTTCAGCACCCAAGGCAAGGCAAGCCGAGCGACCGTCCCAAAGCCGTCCCGAAGCAAAGCCCATCGACAAAGGTACAAAGGAGGAGTTGAAGGTGGTGGGGAGAAGCAGGGGACGGCTGGCTGGCCGGTCGTTCAGCTCGTCTTGCCTTGTCATGCGTGCTGATGCCGGTACTGGGCCGCAGATCATTTTGTGATGCTGGTACCGGGCCATGGCACAAAAAAGGTTGGGGGCCACTGATCTAGGATACTGCTGATTATAACCAACATCTGAGTTGTTTTGAGAGGATGAGCAATTCATTGTATAGAAGAGTATTGAGAAAACATGGAGGAGTAAACAAAACAACATTGTGTCAGCATGAGAACATTTTACATACATAATAAATATGCATGCTTTTATATTGACTATGTTAATATAGTCCTTGATTTAGACCAGTGATCGCCAACCAGTGGGCCAGGGTCCACGAAAATTTTTTGGTGATCTGCAGAGAAATGTCACCTCAAAGCAACCCCCAAAGCAATTAATCCAGGCTACACGGGAACCCAAGGCTGCACCTCCCACATGGCCCGCGGGAACACAAGGCTTGCGTTGCTTGCATTGTGAACAACACAATGTAGTGAGGGGAGGGGGGGAAGGGCGGAAGGGGAGAACTTGCCCCACTTGCCCCCCACACCTTGCCTGGCCACCAGGCTGTTTCTTTCCACTTCTTTCTCCTGCTTTTGGCTGCACGCAAGGAAAGCAGCAAAAGTCTTTCTTTTTCTCCCCCAAAATCCACCAGAAATGACTCTTTGGGACCCTGCAAGGCATCCTGCTCCAAGAGTCTGCGCCAGCCAAGACTCATTTCTGGTGGAGTTTGGGGGAGAGAAAGAAATACTTCTGCTGCTTCTGCTGCTTTCCTTGCATGAAGCCAAGTCTCTCTCTCACCCTGAGAACGGAGCTGGAGATGGTATCCTGCGATCTCAAATAAAGAATGATTGATCGATGGGATAGCGGAGTGGGAAATTTTCCTATAGACATTTTTGGGGATTTTCCCAGGGTCTCTGGTCCGCAGGATTTAAAATTATGAGTTTGGTGGTCTCTGAGATCCAAAATGTTGGCGACCCTTGATTTAGACCACTCATTTAGTGACCACCTGAACCTCCGATGGCACTTCCAATATACAACCAATCCTCACACTTACAACCTTTGCAGGATCACAATCTGGGCAACTATCTCTCCCAACAGCTGCAGCATCCTGCAATCATCTGATTGCCATCTGTGATCTTCCCAGATGGCTTTTAACAAGCATACTCAATGGGAAAGCCAAAAGAGAAAGTTGCAAGACACAGTCAGTTGATGTCTCTCTTAATGATCATGAAAAAAAGGTTGTCAAATTGAGTCCAGCTATGTGATGCCTCACATAACAACTCCACTGCTTAGCAATTTTCCAATGTGATTGCAAGTGAAGTAACTACCTGTAAATGAGATATAATATATACATATATTTGTGGAGTTACATGTAAGCTCAGGTATTTTTAGAGACCACCAGAAAAGAGGCTGTGCCTGGCTTCGTCCTAAATAGGGATCAATTCAGATGTATCCAGACAAGTCTGACATGGCCTAATTGAGAAGAAAACCAATGGAGTATGGTGGTTATAGAAAGTAAAAATACCACATAGGATATACCCTATGTAAAAATAGAAAAATTTACATCCAAATCCTGTTAAAACTTCATACATGGGGACATGACATAATGCAACATTTCAACCCTTAACAACTTAAGTAAAACTAGACTGAATATATCATTCTGATATAAATTATATGAAAACCTGTTATGAATAAATACAGCCCTTTCTGCAGCTTCTTAAAAGAGAAACCACAACAAGGAGCGCTAAATCATTTTACCTGTAATCAGCAATAACTATGAAGCTTTTTGCACAACTAGCCACTATCTTCTCCTGCGTCAGGCAACCCCTGAAGAATAAAAGAACAGCTTGCAAGCTCACACAAACTAATCAGTAGGCTAATACTAAACTGAAATCCAACCATATTTTATTTTATCCAGAAATCATATTAATTCATCATAGCATTCACAAAAAATGAGATCATCATCACTGTAACCAAATAAGAATAGATTGAATACATAACGGGATTAGTACACACACGCCTCATCCAAATAGGTGGCCTCAGTAAAAGATAGTGCTTACATAGAAACATTTTTCCACTTAAATAGGAGTTACTGACCTGTGCACATGTGACATATATTTCTATATGTGACCCTTTTCTTACATTTACTCTAATTCTTAATTTTTAAAGATGATCACTGAAAATTTTGTGAGATAGTTATCATTGTAAAATAAAATCCATGCAAATATTCTGTAAATCTTCTCTCATTTTAAGGCAAAATAATATTCAATGCTACTTTCCATCCCACAGCGGCTGAAAGAAATGCTTCAAATTGCTATTTTACAGATGTCATTTTAGAACTTTTGTTTGTAAACATCAGAACAAAAACAGAGATATTTGCAGAAGTTTTATTGGGAGGTGACAAAACTAGGTTGCATTTTCCAGCTATTTGTCTTGTTTCTAAATCTGCAGGAAAAAGTTGTAATCACACAATGTCAACGCACACTGGAATCCGTTGGTTTTGGAGTCTGCCTCATTTCAGAAAAGATTTGGTCACACAGAGCAGGGTATGCCCTGGGATAAGACAATTTCCTTGCATCCTTTTGCTCGTTTTTTCAGTAATCCAATAAGAGCCACAGCTCAGCAGTAGAACACTCGGCCCCTACAACAGCCCTTACATTAATATTTCCCAACTTGTTCATTTTAATTATACACTCTATATATTCCTCAAGCAAGTATTATAGTTTACCTTCAGCAATTTAATAATGAGACATTTAACTTATAAAGCTACAAATTTTATCTGTCAGGTCAAAACCAATATATACTCCCGGAGATCTACTCAGATTTTATCTGGTTGATATTATCTACTTATCTTTTACTTTTATCAATGAATACAGAAATAGAAATTATTCTTACCCTCCTCCTTTGATAAGATTGAGGTCTGAGTCAACTTCATCAGCTCCATCAATAGCGATATTCAACTATATAAAAAGGAACAATTTGTAATACATTCACAAAATACTTCTACTATAAGATCTTTGCAGATCTTTCAATAAGACAGCCTTTTAGATCTGCTTGTCAAAGATTTAAAAAAAAAATCACGTGGCTGCTTTAAAAGTCTTCTAGCTGCAGATGTCATTCAATCAATCAGTCAATCAATAAGTTTATTCATCTATATACCTGTCCATCTCACTTTCAAATGACTCTAGGTGGCTTGAATTAAAAAACAAACCAAAAAACACAACACACACACATACACACACACAAAACACATAGCAGCCAGGCACAATCTTGTTGAATGATTTGCCAGGCCTAAAAGAAAGTAATTAGCTACACCAATTGAGAACCAGGCTCAAGAACATCTAAGAGGAATGGTAAAAGCAGAATTATTATGGCAGGCAAAAATATGAGAAAGAAGCTAGATTAAAATGCTTTATATTTAAAGGGCAGGCAGTTAGGAAGACCTCTTTATATGGTTCTAAAATGAAAACAACAGGTTTCAGGGACTCTCCCCGGGAAGTTATTTTAAAAAACAAAAGTACTTTGTAAAATTGTTTCATTGGTACATATCTGATATTCATTGGCTCATATCTGGTTGGAAAGAGTTGACATCCATGAAAAGCTTCCACTGATGACCTTATCCGTCCTATCATATGACTAAAACTGCTAGAATATCCAGCTGACAGAACAAAAGGGCAATTTTGGGAATTATATGTCTGGAGGGCATCCCAATTAAGAGGACCACTCCAATACACAAACTAAGGAAAGACTGTCCTCTGGGTACTTTAAGTCATTAACATAGAAACAAATATACCCATCACACTATTCTCTTTTGAAGTAACATTAGCAAAGCATTAAAAAAAGAGTAGTAATACACAAGAGTTAGTAGTAAACCAAACAGAGGTTTTTAAAACATTTATTTAGTTTACACTAACAACATTCACTATAACTTTCTATCCTAGAAAACCATTCATGCTTCTATTACTTTCTTATATCAAATAAACCATTGGAAATGATGTTTCTGAAGATATTGTGAAGATTTAGAATTTATTTACTGTTCAATCTTTGGTCAGCTTTTGGTCATCCAAGATGTGCAAAACAGAAGATGGGTTGAACACTTTCAGGAAACTCTTAATCAGCCAAACCCGCTCTCTATATACAATTTTAATGAAGAATGTGCCCTATAAGAACTTCAGGTAAATAGTGGTGAAATTACACTTGAAGAAATAAAAATGATGATTAGAAGCCTTAAAAACAAGGGAGCTGGCTTAGATGAGATAACCTCAAAGATTTTACAACATAGCGCGCAGGCTGTGGTGAAAGAATTGGCAACATTGTTTAATAAATATTGGCAATGTGATATAATTCCAGAAATTGTATTAAGCAGATCAAAGGAGGCATTAGGACTACAAAATCTCTAAATCTGTGGCATAGAATTGATGTGGTACAAAGAATATATCAAGGCTGATATATATAGAGAAAGCATATGTACCCGTACATACACACAATGCCAATTATCACTTCTATTTATTGGTAATTCCTTATTAGTTGGCTATGACTATTATGATGAACCAGATTCTTTGGAAAAAAATAAGTGATCAAATACCGTTAAATTATATTGTGAATGTTGGAATTATCCATTTATGAAAATCTTTGAATAAATTGTGGCTGGATTGAAGCCATTAGGGTGATAATATACTCCCAAAAGATATTTATGTACAAAGATGTAAATGTTGGTTGAGCTATGGGTTGGGAGAAAAAAAGTCTCCTTTCAATTAGTTTTGTTTTGATGCAGAATCAAGGTTTTAAATATTTTGCTGTCTTATTTCCTTCATGTTGATATTAAATCCACACTAAAATCACCAAAAACATTAACTGAGAATTGGACAATGGGACAAAGAATCTACAAATAAGCCAACCAACTTACTTCAGGATGTCTGTCTAAGTCACTTAAGATTAAGCCATTCTGCAGAATCAACTGACGTGCCTGTAGGAAAAAAGGCAATATTATTTTTCCATATTGATACATGTTTTGAACATCTTATTTTTATTCCTATTTTAAAACTGTTTTATTGTATGTATCTTGTCATAGCCTTACAGCCAATGAAGAGATTCACTCATAAAATCAAAGACAATAAACCTGCATATAGAAGCATGGGAACACACCTATGCACTAGTTTCCATAAAGAAATAGATTGCTGGGGCAATTACAATCAATAATCTCTGACTTCTCCTAAATTTTAAGTCCTTCAAAGACCCATCCATATAGATCAGGGGTGTCCAAAGGTTGGCCCATGGGCCAGATGCATTATGCGTAGGCTACGCCTACCCTGGCTCCGCAAAGGCAAAAAACACTGCAATACATCACATGACATGATCAAGTTTGACACCCATGATATAGATTGATTGATTTGTGTGTCATCTATCTGAGATTTGAGTTTGGGAGACAGAGATGGTAAATGCTGATCCAAGAATCCAGCAGCCTTTCTTAACACTTTCAATTAAGTTTAACTAGGGCTTCCAACTGTGGGATTTCCCTTTCTCTTCAGTATTCTATAAATTTTCTTTCCTGACCCACTGCAGACACAATAAGGTTAAGGAGAATGGGAATGTACTATATGAGTGTGTAAGTGACACAGAGAGAGCTAAAGAAAAGAAAGAAGGTGAATGGGATGGCTAGACAAGACTTAGATAGGTCTGCTCAAAAGTCAGTCCCCATGAATTCAACGCAACATACAAATCTGAACTGGAATTTCCAGATGAGAACCTCAAGTGGACTAATAACTGTCAATAAATTATTAAAAGCAAGAATTTACCTGAAAAGAGGTAGGTATACAAACTATGTTGAGATTCTCTTTTTTGACTCTCTCGGCTATAAGAGAAAAATCATTAGATTTACTAAAAATTTAAACCATTCACAACAATCCACATTAACAGATCTCTATTCAAAAAAATCTCCATTTAAAAATGCTCAGTACCGGGCTTCATTATTGATTTATATCCTGCTATACAGGCTACATCAGACAAGACGTACAGCCCTGGTCAACAGCTGGAATAAAGAAGAACATACACAAAGCACTTTCAAACAAATACTGAGGCAATACCAGGTTCTGAAAGATACAAAGAGACCTGCTGAATTTAAAATAGCAGCAAAGTTACCCATTATAATGTATATTTTCTCATTCTCTCTTTCTCCCTCCCTCTCTGCCCGCCCCCTCTCTCACACACACACACATCCTTCTCAGCTGAACTGACAGGCACTAGATAGAATCCACCATGCCTGGTAACTATAGATGGAATTATGGATTTTTGTGGACTCCGATCCAACCCCCTTTGCTTGCTTCAGGTGATTCTTCTCTGATTCCTTAAGGAACAATTTCCTTGTTACCTACCTCCCCAAAGAGAACTTTTAGACAAGATTCCTGGTCTTAACCATTGACTTAACAATAGTTTATTTAGTGACCAAAGTTACAAGGGCCCTGAAAAATGTGACTTATAACAATTTTTCACAGTTGTGACCTATGCGGAATCCCCATGGTCATGTGATCAGTCAGATGCTTGGCAACTGCCTCAATATTTATGACCATTGCTGTTTCCCAAGGTCACGTGCTTACCTTTTACAACCTTCTGACAAGCAAAGCCAATGGAGAAGCCAGATTGCTAGCTTATCAACTGCAGTGATTCACTTAACAACTGCAGTGATTCACTTAACAACTGTGGCAAGGAAGATCATAAAATGGAGCAAAACCCACTTAACGAATTTCTCAATAACAGAAATTTTGGGTTCAATTGTGGTCATAAGTTGAGGACCATCTGCAAATACTTATGGCAAAAAAAGAGTAACAGTAATACATACCCAATTTATGTACAGCATGAACAATTGTAGATCCACTTCCAATTCCAAGGACATGATTAGTCTACAAGGGAGCATAAATATTTGCTTTTGTAAATCAATATAGAAACAACATAATAAGATATTATTTTCTTTTAAGCAGTTTTAGTCTGGCTTCTAAAGGAGACAAAAACATGTTTCATACAGGCACGTAAAACAAGAGTAGTTCAGTATAAAAACCAATAAATACAGACTCAAGGTAAATGGCACCAAACTCAATTGCAGGAAATAGGGTTTCAGCAACAGAGTGGTCAACGTCTGCAATACACTACCTGACTCTGTGGTTTCTTCCACAAACCTCAAAAACTTTTAACCTCAGACTGTCTATTGTTGACCTCACCCCATTCCTAAGAGGTCGGTAAGGGGTGTGCATAAGCGCACCAATGTGCCTACTGTCCCTGTCCTAATGTTCCTTTTATTAGTATCCATTTCATGTATTCATAATCATATTTATACTTATATCCGTTATCTAATACATGCTTGACAAATAAATAAAACAAAATAAAAAACTAATTCTCCTGTGAACATTCAGGAGGCCAAAAAAAAAAAAAAAAGAACACCAAACCCCAATTTCTCTAAAATAAAATATCTGTACAGTTGATTAACTGTGTATGCCATAACATTTTCAAATAACTGTTTTTTATATTTATGCTTTTTTGCCTGAAAAAACATGGGAAGTTATGAAACTTATTATTGAAACTTGTTATTGAAACTTATTATTCAATAAGTATCCACAGAATGAAATAATACAGTAAAGTATTTAATTTGCAAGGATAGTAACCCAAATTACAACTCCAGACAGATCTACGAGTCATTTTTTGATCAAATGGAACCATCTAACTAATATGGATCAAAGTCTATCAGATGAGTACGAACTACAAAATCCAATTCCAATGGTGAAAGTACAGCTGAGAACCGCAGCACGCGACGAGACCTTTGCCGTTGATCTGTTCGGAAATCTTCAACCAACTTCAGAACAATCGGCAGTTTTTATATGCATAAAATCTGTAACGGATTTTTCTCGTGGGAGAAAACCAATTGCGTTCGTCTATAAATGTCAGAATACAAGTTTTATAATACCTAAAAATATTTGGTAAAGGCAAAAGTTCCAAAAACAGTAGTGAAGACATGTACTTCCGCGCAAAATCATCTCCCCACCTGCACGTGATTGTTTATCGCAGCCCAGGCGGCCAGCTTTTTGGCTTCTTCGGTCATATTCTTGCCCCCGTGGCTGCTACTCAACAGCCTGGGGTTTAGCACGCGCTCTTTCTGCAGAACTCTCCACTCGCCCCTTCCTTCCGCTCTCAGCGCCCTATAAAGAACAGCGAGAGGCTCCGTTCTGTGCCGCATGACGCTAACCCCGCCCGGCCGCCGCCTCTCTCTCTCCCCCTTGGGCTTCACCTTGGCTCTTGGGATTGCCCCGAACCATCACCTCGGGACGGTTCGCGATTAAGACTGCCTGACAAATGCTTACTTCCTTTAGACGCAACGTGAGATTTAGACTACCACTTTCAGAATTGAGCGCACGTACTGCGAACTGCATGAGAAACACCCCCCTCCCCTCACACACACACCGCCCGCCCAGAAAGACTGCATCCCGGCATTCAGCTGTATTGAATGCAAAAACGGGAGCAGATGTATTTTATCAGTATCAGCTGCTACGCGGTTAATCATTTATTCCCACAATAATGTATTCATGCACTTTTTAAATACCTTTTTGCCAGATGTTAATATCAAGCGTCGCTTGTCCGACATCTCTACGATTAAATATCCTCAATAACTGAGGTTCGAGTAGATGTCTGCATCTCGTGCAAATCTGACCTCTTAAAATCCTTATTTCTTTGGTTGCGATTTCAGTGATCGGAAATTATTTCTATAAGGAGATATATGGTCCATATAAATAGATATGATCCATATAAACAGAACTCACTTTCAAGTTTGGAGGGGAGGGAATTTCTAGTAATGAAATGGAATAAAATGTCCATTAAATACACAAGAATATAAATTAATGTGGTCTTTAGGAGCGGATAGCATTTTGATAGCACATAATTTGTATTCCCTTTTCACATTAATTCTGCAGTAATCTATCTCATTTTCACTCTTTAACATACAAGAGGTTTGGGTTTTTTTGGCACAGGAATGTGTATTTCATATGACCAAATTACGGGGTGCTGTTATTTCTTGATCTTTTTTGAGGAAGGCACAATTCTATTATGTTTATTCATCAAAGATACTGCGTGTAAAAAAAAGTTTTTAACCATAGGAAAAGAATGCACCATTAGATACAAGCGCCATCATTGTTGCTTCAAATCGTAGGCAGCAAGGTTGCTTTTTAACCCTTTATTTGCCCTTCACAGGTGTAAATTCAATCCAGTCGCCTCTATAAAAAACGATAGACTCTGCATCTGGAAAAGCGTCATACTGGGTGGAACCATTGCAGGCAGCAATTGAGAGGGGGTCTGGGTTCCCCACACGAAGACCCCCTTGCAAATAAACCCCAAAAGCAAATAAAATTACTGCAAAAAACAAAGTAGTTCTCTCCACTTCTTCAGTGAACAAAGTTGGCGCAGCATTTAAATATATCCCCTGGGAATTTCCCAACTCGTTCTGTTCTGGTTGACCTCGGATCCCCTTTTCTCTGTAGAATTAGAATTTCTATAAACAGAAATATATGAACAATTTCGTCCCGGCCAGAAATGAATGTTCAATGTCACCGCGAAGATATTTTTACTCTCTGTAAACCCATATGCGGTTTAACAGCTGCGGCTTCTTTAAGGTTCCCCCACTCCCATCAGCCCTCTGCTCAGGAGAATACCGTCAACACTCAAAATCGGCCACGTAGAAAGCATCGGCCTCGCCCAATCAAGAGGGAAGGAAAAGAGCAACAACCAATCCCTGCATTCCACCAGCTACCTGCACGTTCTCCAATCAAGAGCGGAAGTCAATTTAATCCAATCATCGAAACCTTGGAGACATTAACCTTTTTATTTGCGGGCAAAAGCTACAAAGCGTCGTTTTCATTGGTTCCGTTTACGTGCAGACAACTATCAAGTATTCAACCCTTTTCTTTCGTAGAGAAAACAACTCCTCCGAAGTCTGGGTAGATAAAACAGCAAAAACCTGCTACTAAAGTCAAGCATACTAGATTGTGTACAAGCCGCCGTTACGTGGCTAACGGCGTGGGTTGGGATTGGTAAAGTATAAACAAGTTAGGTTGCAGTTTGCGCGTGCGTACTTGAAATCTCTTGCTGAGCTGAGGGAAGGAGGTTGCATCTTCCTCGGTGGCCTTGGGAAGAAGCAGCTTCGCGGGGCCAGGTCGGAGTTTATGCCGGAACGACGTCTTTGAGGCGAGTGGAGGGAGGGCCCCTCCATGCCAGGGCCGCGAGGCCCAAGCGTTCGGCCTGCTCCTTCCGCTGCCACCCCTTCTAACGTCGCCGCCCTGCTGCTCTTCTGGTTTTTTTTGCCGCTCTTCGTCCCCCTGAGGGAGGCGGCGGCGTTTTCGGAGGGTGATGGCCGGTCCGGCGCTGCAGCCGCGGCGCTTCCGGTAGTAGGTGACGTAATCGTGGAGGACGATGAAGCCAGTGGGGTGGCCCAGGCCGCATCCCCCAGTGAACAGGAGGAAGAAGCAATGGAAGCTCCCACCCGAAGCGGTAGTTTCAGGTGAGGTGGGAGAGAATTTGGGAGGGGGAAGGCTGTCCTTTATAGGTTGTTGTATGTATCTTGTTCTGTGATGGCCAATCCGGCGCTGCAGCCGGAGGACCGTCTTTCCCAACCAGTTGCTTTCTAATGCGGAATCTCTTAATTTTCAAACCGGGAAGCTGTCGTATTGGCTCAGCTGTGGGAGGTGTTGCCAATAATATTTTCGGAGAACCAGGTTTTTTCTCTGGATACATAAATGCTTTTCATGATGCCCAAACCTAGTATCCCGGTACAGGATTTGCAGTAAGTAAATTGCCCGATGAGCTGCTCCTTAAACCATTTAATACTCATAGGGTCACTAACATATCTATTTCCTCCGCAGTAAATTGTCTATACGTAGAGAAAATTGGAATGGGATGCATTTTTATTTGCTGTTTTACTCTTCGTTCACCTTTTACTTACAATAACTGCTTTGTATGTCAAACTAAGTGTTTTTCTTACTATTGGTCAGCTTTTTGGGTATGCAGACCAGTGGCTAGAAATTTTATAATTTCCCCTCCTTCCCTCCCTCCCCAAAGTGCCAATTTACATGAGAGAATCTGCATCTATTATACAAGACTCCAAACAAGAATCTATTCTTACTATCCTGTGAAAATTTATTTTGCTGCAAGAACTATTAAAAAAAAGCTTAATAACATTAAAAATGGGTTTTAAGCTCATTTGTGCTGCTGTTTGCAAGAATTGAATTATCTTATTGAAACAGTATTGTTTCATTGAGCTCAGAATAGTCAACTGGTAGTAATTCTTTATCAAATCTCTCTGAAGCTATCAGAATTTTTTTTAATTCAAAGCTCTGTCTGCAAGATGTGGTTTGCCATCCTGACTGGGATTGTGAAGCTGAAATGTAAAAGTTTCTAAATTGCCAAAAGCTTACTTAAGTAAACATTTAAAAATATAATTCCATGGAACAAGAGCTTTGTTAAATGGTTTTCCTAAATAAAATTTGTAACAAAATTCAGAGGCTGAGAAATATTTTCATATAATTACACTAAATGTATCACCTAATTTCTGATTAGAGATAATCTATTAATTGATTTACATGTTTTTCAAAACTACTGTCTTTGGGGGAAAACTATTTAAAATAATTTTGATGTGAATTAATGTAAGAATACAGTACTTGATATTCTTTCTGGAGGTAAAGTATATTTAAACTGGTTCTACTATATTGATTGCAGTTCTTAGCAGAAATTGTAATTTCTCAGTTTAGTTACATTTTGCTGTTTAAGATTTTCATGTATTTAGAGTTTGCACGTAGGGCAGTACAGAATTCTCTTTCTGTTAACAGTATTAGAAAAATTCCCTTTGATAGAATTGCAGGAAACTGTAAATGGTTGTCTCTTATAAACTATACTGTATATAATTTATACAGACAATACTGTATATTCAAAAAATGTTGTGAACGTGTATGCATTCATCACTGTTTAAAAAAATGTTCATCCTGATAGTCCTTGTTTAACAATGGGGTCCCTTAGTAACTATTCAAAGTAACAACAGATCCAAGATACATATAATGAAGTTCCAAAGTTTTAACAGCTATGCACACATATATTTGCATCACACAGTCATATTTAGGATGCCTACAGCCATTTGCAGCATCCCATGGTCATGTATTGCAAACTGCCCATTGGATACAATGGATTTGCTTAAGAATTGCTACTGTCAGTAATGATGTTCACATAACAAATGCGACAAAAATTTTTAATTCCAGGCTCAGTATAAATACTTGCATTGCTTCCTCTCTTGCCCTAACTTCCCATCTACAATATACTTTCAGAACCTTTCCTGCTTTGTTTTTGTTTAATCCAGTTCTGTCGTTTTCTTCTTTCAATACTTTTTGACATATTCTGTGATCCATAATTTATTAAACTTAAATGCTGCCCAGTGATAAGGCAGCTCACAATAATACATAATATCTCAGAACAGAATGAACTGGAGAAGATAACTAAATAGAAAGACTTTAAAAAAGAAATAAAATTGTGGCAAAAGAAAGCAGTAGTAATAAGTGCGTTGTGTGCAATCCCAACACAGAGCACAACTTGTACACCATTGGCATTGATGAAATCATCAGTCGGTTATGAAACTGTGGAACAGTGTACATCCTGCGATGATACCTTTAAAATTATCAAACACTAGCTGGATATCCATGCTTCACTATGAAACTGTGTGATCAGACTTTTTGGGGGAGGAAAATAAGGGGGAAAAAATTCTGCCTCTGCCTATCAGCATCCATCAGTATTCATCTGGCTAGCGTCCTGTTAGTGTGTGAGAGAGTTGAGGGGTGTTTGGAAACTGAAACAGTATTCGCTGTATTAGCAAGAAGGGGTCAGCAAGGAGCCTGGGCTTGGCTTAGCGCAACTGTTCTGTACTAAAGCTGGTTGCTGCTCTGAAACTGAAACTCCTGTCCTCTTGTGTTTTGCATTTGGAACAGATTTCTTTTCAGGTGGGGAGGGGGAATAGCATCAGAACATGCAGGGGTGGGATTCAAAAATCCCAGCAACTAGTTCGCTGCCGGTTGCTGCATGGGCATGGGCATGGGCGTGGCCTACAGGAACTTCCATGAGGGCTGTTTTTTGCCTCCCAAGGGTCCAAAGGCCTCCCCTGGGCCTCTGGGAGGGCAAAAACGGCCTCCCCTGGGCTCCGGAGGCCCACCAGAAGCCGGAAAGAGGTCTGTTTTCCCCCCTCCCAGAGCCTCCATGTGGACCCTGCACTTACATTGTGTGGAGACTCCTGGGAAGGGTGGGGTGGGTGGGGCCAGCAGGTTGGTTAAAATACCGGTTGAGTGAACCAGGTGAAAGCTTAGCATCCAGTTCACTCGAACCGGTACAATCCCACCCCTGAGAGCATGTTAATAAGAATATATGAAATACTAATACTCTGATGGTCATTTCAAAAAATCCTTTCTTAGTGAGCACCTAGAAACGAAGAGGAACATAGGTGCCAAATTTCAAGTTTGTAGGCTTTATGGTTCTGGAGATTTTGTGATGATGCTTGTATGGTATTTTGCTTTTATATATATAGATTCATATCTGCCTATCCCAGATACTTGGGAAGTACAGGTAATCCTTCATGTTCAACAATTTAGTGACTTCAAAGTTAAAACAGCACTGAAAAAGGTGACATGACCATTTTTCACACAACTGTTGCAGCATGGCCATGTGATCAAAATCCAGACACTAGGCAACTAACTTACATTTATGATGATTACTATGTTCCAGTGTCATGTAACTTACCTTTTGTGACATTCTGACAAATATAGTGAACGCCGAAGCCAGATTTACTCAACAGCCTTATTACTAATGTAACAATTGCAGCGATTCACTTAACATGTCAAGAAAGATTGTAAAATAAGGCAAAATTCACTTAACAAATGTTTCACTTAGCAACAAAAATTTTAGGCTCAATTGTGAATCATGCCATTAATGCAATACAGGTAGCACTTGATTTACAATACTTCATTTAGTGACTGTTTAAAGTTACGACCATTGGAGCATCACTTGATCAAAATTCAGCTGCTGAATTTTATAGGACGGTTGCAGTGCCCTGGATCATAAGACCACCTTTTGTGACCTTCTGATAAGCAAAATCAACGAGGAATTCACTTAACAATTACTTTGCTAACTTAACAACTGCAATGATTTACCCATCAACTGTGATAAAAAGACATTAAAGTCAAGTATAACTCGATCACTTTGCTTAGCAATGGAAATTCTGATCCCTATTGAGGTAGCATCAGTGAAGCAGTGGTTAAATGAAGCATCATGTAACCACATGACTTAGCAATGGTAATCCCAGTTATAGTTATTAAACAGGGCCAATTCCATCTTTAGGTGAAGACCTCCTGTGACTATGATTTGTGACTTCCTGCCATCTTGACTTTGCTTATGGGAAGCTGGCTAGAAATGATACGGTCCACCCCAATTCAAGCCATTTCCAGATCAGCCTTTCCAAGCCCTGGTCTCAGTTTTTCCCAGATGGGACACTTTCAGGAGATCACTGAGACAAAAGAGGTTGACTTCCTTCTCTTCCCCTTGCCTCTACTTCATCTTCCTACATCCTCCTATCTCCCCCCATTTCTGCTCTTTTGGCTACCCTGCACAGCACAGGTGAGATGAAGATGCCACTATATTCTACTGTGATATATCTGCTACCACTGTCCCCAATATAGCTTCCTCCTTGACTTCCTATGTGCAGCTGTCATTGTCTTCTTCCTTGTCCTCAGTGTCTATCATGTCTAATCTACGCTGAACTTGCTACTGCCTCCTCTCCTTGGTGTCCACTACTCCAGGGAGATGATGATGCTATGATGACGGTCCATGATCCTAGAAAGAGCAGGCTGAGACTGCTAATATGGGTCAGACTTATCAGGAGCCTAGCTGTAGGGAAGTGGATGAAAGTCAGAGGTGAGTCCATCACTAATGGTGGCTCAGAGGAGAGAAGGGGAAGCACATGAAAAGGAAGAGAAAGACATGCTAAGGAGTAAAAAGGGGCGGGCAGCTGGGTGGCAGCGGAGGAATACAGCAGTTGCTTCATCAGTCAAACCGTACAGGTGACAAAAAAGGTAGATGGGGAGAGTAAATAGGTTGGGATGGGAGTTGAAGAGAAGACAGTTCACTCAGGGAAGGAGAACATGACTGAGATACTGCAACTATCATAACTGCAAGGGGAAAAAAGTTATTAAGAAAAAAATGGCAAAGTTGTGAAAAAATAATTATAGTTAATAAAATTGAAAAATTGGTTACAGATTGTTGTTAGGTACACCTTGGATTTTTTGTTCTTATGAACATGTTTTTTATTTGCAGATCATTAATAATTATAAGTACTTTGGATGGACGGATTTCTGCTTTAGATCCAGAAAACAGTGGTAGAAAACAATGGGATCTGGACGTGGCATCAGGTTCTCTTGTTTCATCTAGTCTTAGTAAACCAGAGGTAAGATTAGTGTGTTTAATCACTGGTTTTTAGAATTTGTAGGGAGGGGTTAATTAAACTAAGATGTTTCTTTGCCTCTGCTAGTTAGAAGTACCAGGAATACTGGGAACATAGAACTCATTCCTAATGATTTTTAATTGGAAATCTGATAAAGTGTGCAAGTTTGCATGAGGTACAAGTGGAGCAAACAATTTCTGTAACCAATCCCTTCTTTGATCAGTATCAGGCATAGGAGAGATTACCTACAAAAATTGCTTGCTTCCCCCCCCCCCGCCCCCCCCACACACAGAGCAGAGAGACTGAAGTGGAAAAGATGTCAAGAGGGTACTGTAAGCTGTTTCTGCAATGTGCCTGCAACTCCTAGCCCTGGTCTCCCAACACAATCCCATTGTTTTCAGTGTGCGACAGAGCAACAATCCCAACAATACCTTACCTCCAATCTTTCTATCTTCAAGTGAAGGATGGGGAAAAAACAGGTCAGATGCATTACAACATGTATTGATTGTAAGTGGTGATTGAACAAGTTAATATACATAAGAAATTTAATATAATTTAAATTCCATGGATTAGGATGACTGCAAAAGATTTATTCTCGCAATGGGAGATGAAGTAATGTTTAAGGACAAATGGAAAGAGGATAATGTCATTTCCATAGTCATATATCCTTGCTGATTTCTTAGTGTAGTTGAATCTCCTTGTTCTTTCAATGGGAGTATTTCCATATTTTTAGTCTTTTTGGATTTACATGATTTCATCACCTTATGTACACTTCTTGCTACCATGAATAAGGAGAAAAATTAGAAATGAACATGCAAATGAATTCTTGTTGTCTTGTTCAATAATAAAGTTTAGAAACACTTTTTTTCTTTTAAAACTATACATTAGCTCTGTAACGCTAATGTATATTAACCAGGAGTAACAGTATAATCCATTCGATTCTTAATCTAGGATTTCAAGAATTCATAGTTCACTTTCAGAGTATGACCAATTGTAACATTTTTTACAAGAAACGTTCTCCAAAACCATATTATCAATTTGGAGTTCTTTCAAAACAGTTTATTGGAGTGATTGTGGAAACATCTTTGTGTGAGTGTTGGACCTCAAGGTGGATGCCATGATATCTAGTCTGCTTGTTTTTGTTAAGAAATATGTGTAAGAATTAAAAAATACTTTCAAGCAGGATATGCTTAAAGAACTTAATCATTAATGATGGTCTTAACCTTAATGATAATTTGTACTGTTTTAGAAATCAGCTCTAACATTTAGGCAGTATGTTATTTTGTCTTGAACTAAAACTTCAGATTTCTCTCTTGATCTCTGCCATTTTGCTTCCTCAGTGGTTCTTACCTTAACTTATTTTTAAATATTGGCAGGGTGATCTGGCTTGTTTGTGTTTAGTTAATTGGTAACAGATTTTTTGTTGCTAAGGTGCAGAATGGTAAAATATGATTTCATGTTGACTGCATCATGTAGCAATGCAATCTTGGTTGCCATCATAATTCCAAGGTCACTTTGGTTATTAAGCAGGGTTAGAGTCCCAGGCAAGTTGGTGAAAAAGTGGCAGTGTCAGCCTTCAAGATCTTTCCTTTCCTTTGCTTCTTTCTGGCTGTCATGTGTAACAGGGGTAGAAGGGGGAAATGTATGGAATGTTACTAACTGATATTGTATAAACTGGAGGGGGTTTCTGATTCCTGCTTAGCTTTCTCTTCTCTGCACAACTGCAAATCTTTATCTGATTAAGCCAAGGTCAACTAATCATCACCACCTGGAGATGTCTGCATGATGAAGTTCACAACTTTTAATTGGAAGAACCTTTTGAACTGTTGGGGGTGGGAACATTTCACTCCCTTGATATATGTGATGTACATGCCTATTTCCCCAGATTCAGAATAGTGCTATAACCTTGAACAGCTGCTGGATGAGTGATTGTAATTTAAGGTTTACCTGTAGAGATACTTATTTTGGTAGCATATTCATTTCTTAAGACTTCAGTAGTTTCAGTGAAGAGATATATTCACATACGATGGAGCCATTGTGAATATAGCTTGCATGTATTAAAGTGGATAATTACTTTTTTCATCTAGCTTTTTACATACTTCTGACCTTTTTTTGCTTTACCTAACAAGTTAAATTAATTGTTTAACTTAAACCTTTCCTTTCCCAAATTTGAATTATTTAGATGTTTCATATTTCATTCGAATTGTTTCTGTGCCATTTTAGAAATTTTTCATTAGGTAAATGAGGTGGTCCCATGCATATATGTTAATTACAAATTGTTATATAATTATATTATCCTTGGAATTCTTTTGCTTTATTCCTGCTCTTGTCTAGGATGAAATTTAGTATCTATAATTTGTTGCATGTTAATAATATATGTTCCAGTTCTACTCTTTTGATTTGTGCTTATACCTCTGCCAGATTTTGTTCCATATATTATTGAAATTACATGTGGCTTTTTATCTTTTAGAGTAAGACCTTTCCTTGTTTTTGATCCAAAATGCAGTGAATCCCTTATCTAAGGGCAGCAAATTATTTCTTTTTCTTTTTTTCTGGAAAAGACAATGGCTGAGATCTAAGAACTCTTAACAAACTATTCTATATCCTGAAGGGGCTTATAAATTTTATTTTGAATAACAGGCCCACAAATTATATATTTAGCCTTGAAAGTAATTTGTACAAAGACATGGAGTCTGCTATTTTGAAAATGCAACAAGAAAATCTCAAGTATATGCACATTTCAGTTTTGTATAGGAAACACTTCCTTTGGGGAGGAGGGGTTAGTTTGTTCAAAGAAGATTAAAATATTAAACACCAAAATATTTAAAAAGGACAAAAGAATTTTAAAAAACACAACAAAAAAGACATTAAAAAGAAAACATGTAAAAATATAATACAGCAATGTTAGTTTCCCACCACTTACGTAACAGGCCAAAAGAATTTTAAACTATTAAAGTACTAAATCTGTTTACAAATTATTAGCCTAAAATCTATAAATCATATTATAACAAAATAGCTAACAGAGAAAATAACAATAATGAAATACATAAAAGTAGTAAAAATTGTGAACAATAATAAGAGAAAGACAAGATTGAAATTCCAAAGCCATCTGTTAACAAATTGTTACTGTAATGAACCTGTAGAAAATTTAGCATGATTTCAACCCTAAATTATTATTCTTTCCACAGGAAGAAAGTCTTCCTGTTCCATTCTTTTTCTCAGGTATATCATTAGAGTTCAGTATACCTTCCATTCTCAGGAAATTACGGTTTATGATTTTCCATCAAATCAAAAATCATTTAAATCTCTTTTAAAGAAGTGATGAGGCACATTTAAAATCTATCATTATAAACTTAACATGCCTTTAAACATTGATTTACATCAAAATTGAATTTTCAATCCTTGGATGGTTTATTGAGAAAAGAGCAGGTAAAAATAATGAAGTAATCTGGCTGAGATAGACACAGATAAATTAGTTTAGAAGTCAGTTTATCTCACTGACTTAGAAATCAGTTTATAACTGAAGTAAATGATAATTTGTGTCATAGAATGTAGTTTGAAAAACAACATGGGCCAATGCACAATTGTGGACATGCATTGGTTAATTACTTTTATGAATCATTATTGTGGCATTTTTCTATTGATCTGGATCATATTTGATTTTAAATGTTTCTATATTCTGCTCACCATTGTATTCTTTTTTTCATTATTAAAATGTATACTTCTATTTGAATATTTTGTAGGTGTTTGGGAATAAAATGATAATTCCCTCCTTGGATGGAGATCTTTTCCAGTGGGATCGTGACAGAGAGAGCATTGAAGCTGTTCCATTCACTGTTGAGTCACTTCTTGAATCATCCTACAGATTTGGGGATGATGTAGTTCTGGTTGGAGGAAAGTCCCGGACAACATATGGGCTGAGTTCATATTCAGGAAAGGTAAAATAAGGGTTGGGGTTTGGCAACAGAGTTTGACACTTAATGTTTATGGGTTTTTGAAATTGTTTATAGACAACCTATCTGGTAACGTTTTATAAAGCTTTGTAAAAACTAGCTTGCCTTTTGCCAGTTTCAGTCATATCACAAATTGCATGTTTAATTTATTTCACTTCTTATATAATTCAGTAATTACCAATATGATTTGTAATAAAAAACACAAAATATTTTCTCTCAAAAACACTAGGGTATGAGTAAGTCCTTTAATTGTTGAGTTTGCTCTAAATGAAGCACCGTTTATATATGACTTGGGGTATACATTTTTACTTTTTGAATTGAGTTATAAAAATGGAGTAGAACATGAAATATCAGAACTAAGGGAGAACCTGTTGAATTAAATATTTCCTTCTGGCCCCAGGTTAAATACATATGTTCAGCAATGGGCTGTCGTCGCTGGGATGATGATGAGATAGAGCAGGAAGATATTCTTCTCCTACATAGAACTCAGAAAACTGTTCGTGCTGTTGGGCCCCGCAGCGGCAATGAAAAGTATGTATAATATACTAGTATTATGTCTTAATGATTATATAATTCTTCCCCATGGTTTCTGCATGATATACTTGCATCCCAAGGTTAGTACAGGTAGTCCTTGAACTTATGACCACAATTGAGGCCAAAATTTCTGTTGCTAAGCAAGACAATTGTTAAATGACTTTTGCGCTATTTTACGACCTTTCTTGCTGAAGTTGTTAAATTAGTAACATGGCTTTTAAGCGAACCTGACTTCCACATTGACTTTGCTTGTTAGAAAGTTGCAAAAGGTGATTACATGACTCTGGAACACCGCAACCATCATAAATGAATGCCAGTTGCCAAGTGTCTGACTTTTATCTCATCACCGTGGACATGCTGGAATGGTTGTAAGTGTGAAAAATAGTCATAAGTCTCTTTTTTCAGTGTCATTGTAACTTCAAATGATCACTAAATGAACAGTTACAAGTCATGGATTATCTGTATTGGAATCTTCTATGGCTGGAGAAGATTATTCAGCAGAAAGCATAATTACCTTTCCTCTCAATTTTCTTTTGATGGCCACCACAACAGCAGCATTTAATAATGTGTTAAAGGACAAAAGGTTGGAAATTACTGTAAAGATAAAATCTAAGCAGTGAATATTAACTTATATATCAACATATATCTTTCTTGTTTTATAATTAACAAATGACATAATTTAATAAATACTTCCTCCTGGAAAAAAAACATGCGAATATAAGACAGATGTTGAGGTACTTTTTTATCAAGCTTATAGATTTTCTCACTTAATCCAGTTTTTAGTTAATAGTAGTACATTGGAGATTAGTTATACCAACCTAGTTTTACTATGTTTCTGAATGTTAGCATGCATTATTTCAGAAACAGTATGATAGAACTGATATGGAATCACAGTCTTGCCCTTTTTTTAAAGGTGGAATTTTAGCGTTGGTCATTTTGAACTACGTTATCTCCCGGAGACTGAAACAAGGGTAGGATTTCTTGAAGGGAATATGAAATCAAATATTAACAAAGAAGATTCTAAAATTATTTCGGAAGTAGAAGAACAGGAAGCTACAATGAAGGATACAGTGATAAAGGTTTCAGTAGCTGACTGGAAGGTTATGGCATTTAATAAGAAGGAAGGACATCTGGAATGGGAATACCAGGTACTGAAGATGGGAAATATGTTAATGCTGTTCAGAAACTTCATGTTATCAAAAAAAAAATTCATTTTCTTTTAGTATTGTGGAATTTAAACTTTTTAAAAGAATTATCTTATGTATAAAGTGTTCCTTGTATTTGTAAAACCTTCTGCATTAAAAACTAATGATTATCGCATTTATTGAATGTATTTTTTAAATAATGATTTATTTTATTTTCAGTTTTGCACTCCAGTTGCTTCTGCTTGGTTGGTGAAAGATGGCAAAGTAATACCAATCAGTCTCTTTGATGACACAAGCTATACCTCTAATAACAACATCTTAGAGGATGAAGAAGATCTTGTAGAAGCTGCTCGAGGAGCTACTGAATCTAGTGTTTATTTAGGTATGCTGTCTATTTAAATATATGGCATCATTTTTGTCCCAATCTCTATAGATAACTTCTGTATTTTGTTTATATTTTTATGTTGTTTCTTTGTTTATATAGATTGATTTTTTTCAAGAGAAAAATAATTTGAAACTGAGCTATGCTTTTAATGTATTTTGCATTAGCAGTTGCTGCTTCATATATACAATATGACCAGTACTTTTTTCGTTGAGAAAAGATTTATATATTTTGAAATATATTTTGTGCATATTTATAGAAATAAACTATTGCCTACGATAAGGTTGCATTTCTTTTAAATGGGTGAAGGAGCAGACTGCAATTTTAAAATTATAAATATAGATTGTAGTTGTTGGCCAAAGTATAATGCACATAGTTTAACACAGTGGTGGCCAACAGGTGGGCCGCGAGAAAATTTTGATGGGCCGCAGAGAAATATTACCCCCAGAACACACACACTCCCAAAGCAATTAATCCAGGCTGTGCAGAAACACAAGGCTGCGCAGCACAAATGGCCTGCGGGAACCCTCCCTGCCCACTCACTCCTTACTCTGCAAACTTGCTTGCTAAATTGCTATTTTTCCTTTTCCTGACCATCATCTGTTCTTCTGTGCCCGGAGATATAGATTAGCTAGGAAGCAGAAAATGGTTGGATTTCTTATTTTCTAGCTAAGCACAGCTGAACCTTCCTTAGGACTGAAGGTTCTATTATTCAGTGCAGACTCACAGCAAGCAAATTTGAGAGACTGAGCTAGCCAATGGCAGATATATAGATCACTGAATGATTCTGTGAGCAACTCAATCTGCCTTGCTTGATTTTGGTTAAAAGTTGCTCTTTTTTAATAAAAAAAATCAATATTTATATAAATATTTATAATATTTACATACAAACCATGCCTGCCAAGTCACATGACCAGGCCACACCCACAAATTAGGCCACACCCACAGAATCGGTTAGTGGTCCTTGGGATTTAAAATAATGAGTTTGGTGGTCCCTGAGGTCTAAAAGGTTGGCGACCCCTTGTTTTACAGCCTTCATTTTATGACCTACTCCTTAAACTTTTAAAGCAACTATGAATTCAGGCGTGCTCTCTGAAAACAATCATATGAGTCTTCCAAAAGAAACAAAACTGTTAAAATGTTAAAGTTTAATGTTGCTTTAAATATTCTGGCATATTTTTTAAAGCACTGTCCTATTAACTATGCCAAGTTTAATAATATAAAAACTTGGGGTGTAAACACTGGTGGTTGATTGTAGATCCTTCATTCTCTAACCTGAATGTGTTCCCACTGTGTACTCTGCTTGGATAAAATTAATTTTTTTTCCTTAAGTGAGCCATTTGATTACTTGGGTATAGAAAGACAGTTATTTCTATGTTTAAATTATTATAGTATGCTTTCTGCTCTTTATTTCAATAAATACTTTATTATTGACTGTACAGTAAAATCTATCTAGGTTCAGATAGTACACTAATTCATAATGTGATTTGTTTGGATTTAGCTTAGTTGCTATATGGCTCAGTATATAGTGTGAAACCAGTCAGTTGTGATTTAATCAACAAGTTATGCTGTTTTTTTCTTTCTATTTTTATTTTATTTGAAAAAAGTTAAAATACAAACCTCAAGATTTAGAAAAAAAGAAAAAAGCAAACAAAACATTGAAAAAAATTCATTTTAAAATACTCTATTATCTATACACATATAGATCCCTTTTAGTTGAATACTGATTAATATATTACTACAATATTATTCCCAACCCCTGCTAAACAGGCCCCCAAATTTTTAAATTACTAAATCTATTTGTAAATTATTGTCCTGTCATTTATAGAGTATATTAATGACAAAATAGTTAAAATAAAGAACAATAATAGTTAAAAAACACAATGTTAAAATTTTAAAACTCTCTGTTAATAAACTATTATTGTAATCAATTTGTAGTAAATTTATCATAGCATCTTATCTAACCCAAATAATTCTAAGAGTTAAGAGTAATTCATCCTGGATGAAATATCTATGTTTGTTTCTTAATGCCATCTCTTATCAATTATTTTCTGGTAAAATATTATAATTTCAGTCTCCGCAGTATTTACAACAAAGTCCAGATGAAAATGGTTTCCGATTAGATGTGATAAATCTATTCCCCACATCTTAAATCTTACTATTGAAAACTAATTTATCACTTCTCCGTTTAATCAGACTTCTGCTGTTGTAAAAGAATGCAGCCTTGAATTTCAAAGAGGTGTATGCAGTTAACTTAGTTATGTCTAAGTCTTCATAGTCCATTGATCTTTTCAACAGGTCTGCAACTTTCAAATCATATTCCTTTTGAGAGTCTTAATTTATCCAGAGCTACATGCACCTGAATATTTTACACAGCCATTATGATTTCATCAAACTTTTTTAAAAAACTTTCAACTAAAAATTGCATGTTACCAATTGCTGTTTTTTTAAATATCAGGCCCTCCCACCCTTACTTGTCTGTAGCCTGGTCCATTCTTGTCTGTGTAAAACAAAGAACACTGAAACTAAGTGAAGAAATAAATAAAAAAGCAGGGTAGATATTTTCTGGATATTTTGACCCAAGATTAAAAGAAAAAAAAATACAAATTAATAAAGTGCAAAACCCTGTAGTGATGAGTCCAATATTAATATAAACTAAATGAAATCACTTTCACTATCCAAAAACACGCTTTGTTTCCTTATAAGTGAAAGTTATTCAAAAGGGAGAGGGAGACATATAGAGTCCAACAGGTGGTTAAAACAAATCAGTATTCAATTGACCAGTCAACTTTTAAAGATAAAAAGCAAAGTAAACTAGAAGGTTCAAAAAGTGAAGTTAACACCCAGGCATGCTTAAGAAAACAAACTGCTGAGAAGACGGGTTATCAGTTACTTTCTGACTTCTCCCACATGGAACTGGAATCTTCAAGACTTCACTTCCCCCTTCGGTTCATGGTCCTCCAAAAACTGCCTTGGGTGATTTCTAAGTGCTCTCATTCAAATCCAGAGAGCAGCACTGGCAGATTTTTGTAGCAAAATCTGCAGATTGTTTGCAAGGAAAAAATTACCTTTACTGTTCGGCAATCATCTTGGGAAGGAATCCAACAAGCTATGTTTTTTTGCTTTTTTTTGCTTTTTTTTTTTAAATGCTTGAGAAAATCATGGCTTGGTACAGCATTTAATTTAGTAAATTCATTTGCCACCCATCTCGATTGTAAACGCAATCTAAGTTTAATCAGCATGAAACCACTCCTCAGAAGTGATTTCCTCAGTCACTCAGAATTATGGATAACATCTAAGTGCAAAGTTTAGACTTGGCCATTTCATACTTTTTATTTCTAAATTTTATTTATAAATATTTCTAATTTGCCTGGTATATGACATACTACTTATTCAAATTTTATTCCTAAAATATATAAGATCTAAAGCTGAAGCGACATCTCTAGTATATAGTCTGTGAAGTTTCTCTAGCTATATAAAGTTTCTGAAGTTTCTATAGGCAAGCTCCTGGATAGCAGATTGAATTGGATTTATTGTTGGTAGCATGAAACTGGATAATGTGATCTGTATGCTACTATGGTAAATATGTTTGTATATATTCATTTGCATAATTAAATGCTGAGTAGAGGTTATCTTTTTGTAGGAAGCTTAAGCAGAAGATGTTAACTTATTTGCTGGTGGAATTTTATATTGTACATTTTTAGAATTTTCTAGTAAACAGATCTTTGATATATAGATGTGGTCAAAAGTATTGGTATCCTGCCACACATTTTCCAGAGTTCTAATTTTCCATGAAGTATCATAGGTTGAAACTGACATAAGTAAATGGTATCTACCATGCTTTATTCTACAGTACATAGAACAGGCACTTTGCTTTTGATGTATGAGTTAGTCTTATAAATAACAAAACAAAATGAAAATGACATAAATATAATTATTGATACCCCTTAGAAGTTAAAAGACATTGAATTTTAGTGATCTCAAGTAGACTATTTAATTAATACAGGTGTATCAGTCATTCATCCTATTTGAATGGAGAAAAATATTCAAGCATTCTGTGTCATTCTTTGCACAAGAAAATGTAAAGCAGATGAGTTTTCTATGAGGAAGAAACAAAGAAGTAATAGCTAAGCATTATAAAGATTTTTTAAAAATCTAAAAAGAGCTTCATGTTTTTGTGACCACCACTGCTAATCTTTTCAAGAAGTTTAAGATTAATGAGTCTAGAGCCAATCTCCTTGAGCATGGCTGCAAGAAAAATATTGCTCCCAGATTGCACAGAAGAATAATTTGAATGTTGGAAAATTGAGAATTTCAAAACAGATCCTGGCTGATCTCCAAGATTGCAGTGTATTGCACTGTGTATTGTTGCCTGACTGAAAGCGACCTCCACACTCCCTCAGATAGGCACAAAAGAAGCCAAAACAGAATTGGCTAAAATGCATGTTGACAAGCCACAATATAACTGGGAGAAGGAATATCCTTTGGACAAATGAAACAAAATTAGAGCTTTGGGTAAGTCGCAGCAGTTCTACTTTCACTGAACAAAAAGTGCTGCTTTTAAAGTAAAGAACAAATCTATTGTGAAAACTAGAGGAGGCCTCATAATGTTGCTTTAATGCTTTTGGCACTGGGTATCTTAAATCTGTGCAGGGTCCAAAGAAATCAGAAGATTATGAACACCTCTTGGAATGAAATATAATGGCCAAAACTATCTCAATCTCAAGTCATGGATGGATAACCACCTAAAACAGGGGTGTAAAATTCAATTTCATTGAGGGCTGCATCAGGGCTGTGGTTGACCTCGGGGGGGGGGGCAGGTGGGCATGGCCAATTGCATGGACGTGGCTAGTTTGACACTACTCCCCAAATTGCTGTCATGTTTCTCTTTTACATTGGATAGACCAGGCCAAAGCCAGGCTGACCCAATCTTTTCTTTTTGCATTAGATAGACCAGGATAGCCCTGCAGGCCAGATGAAACTACATCACAGGCCAGATGCGGCCTGCAAGCCTTGACATCCCTGATCTAAAACAAACAGTACATCCAAAAGTACCCAAGAATGATTGAAAAGCCAACTTCAGGCTGTTCTGATTCAGCCTGCTAAGACTCCTGATCTGAACATTACATAGAACATTACATAGAACATGGAGAAATGAAACTAATAGTTAGGAAAAAGAACACATGAAAACTAACAACAAGCGGAAGTTTGTTTAAGGAGAGTTTTGCCTATTGAGAAGTATAGAAGGCTTATTCATAACTACAGAAAGTGCCTGATTGCAGTTGTTGCCTGAAAAGGATAAGCTATGAAATACCAGATTAGAAATATCAATAATTACGTCAATTTTCATTTTATATTACGTCATACATTGAAAGCAAAGTATCTGCTGCATAGCCTATGGAATTAATCATAATGAATATGATCTAACTGTTAATTTTATAACAAATTGGGATTTTGTGGGGGAAAATGGAGGGAGAGCATCTACATACCTTTGGTATCACCTGTACTTATATTAATTTTTAATGAGGTGGTCTCAGCTATTGAGAATATACAATTATACCCAAAACTTTTAAATACTGTTTTGAAATTTAAAGAATGAAGCTTATCAGTCCTGTAAAATTACTACTGCTGATTTTATATGCAGGAATGTATAGAGGTCAGCTATATCTTCAATCATCAGTTAGAATTTCTGATAAATTCCCTACTAACCCTAAAGCTTTGGAATCCAGAAATGATAATGCCGTTATGCATTTGCCTGTGATCAAGTGGAAGCCTTTGATTCGTAAGTAATTTATCAGATTTATTACTTTTTAAAAAATGGATGGAATATAATTTTTGATAAAAAATTATTAATGACTTTTAGCTATTGGAAACTTTTCTGTATCTTTTCTAAGATATCACATTATATACTGAAATATGTATTTCATAATTTACTAACTTTATAAAAGTAACATCAACAAGTAGTACTACCAGGGAAAAAAGCAATGCTGTTTACTATTGATAAAAACTATAATAAGGAAATTTTATATTATTTCAGTAATAAGAATAAGTATGTAGTTTGATTTTTTCTGAAAATATTGCATTGATAAATGTATTGGAATTTGCATTTGGAAGCCTGTACATAGATATAATATTGCCATCAAAAATATAAGAATTCCATATCAACAGTCCATTAATTATCCAATAAATTCATTTAATATTATTAATATTAACATGGAATTATGGGTTTTATAACACATGGAAAACAGATACTGTGGCGTAGCTTTGTACGTTCTCAATATTTTTGGATAATTAAAAGAATCCTTAATTGAACTTGTGTGGTTTCCTTTTGCCAACTTTTTGTGGTCTTTTATAACAGACAAAAAAATGTTTTCTAAAAGATAACTTCCATTGCTATAATGCTCTTGAAAAGTGCTAAAAAGGTCAGAACATAAACAATTATGTAATTTTAATCTTGATCATTATTGAATTAATATTGATAAAACTTTAAAATGTGCTAAGAGCAGTTATAAAAAGTGCTTTCTTTTTAGATTCTCCATCAAGAACACCTGTGCTGGTAGGATCTGACGAATTTGATAAATGTCTCAGCAATGACAAGTTTTCTCATGAAGAATATAGTAATGGTGCTCTGTCAGTTCTGCAATATCCATATGGTGTGTGTGAATTGTGCTTTATTTTCAATTATAAGTTCAAAAGATTATTGCATTTACATTAGGATCTGGTTTTCACTAATTTAAACAAAAATCACAATGCTGGTATATCTGTACAACAGTTATTGGCCTTTTTGGTAAATTATGGATCTACATAAATTAATGATACTGTTTTATATTCACTAAATAACTTAGAACAGGGAGACTAGTTCCAAAAGGACACTGTCTTTGGCATAATGTTCAAAAGAAAGACAATATAATTTTAGCAAAGAAAAAAGAAGAGTGGACCAAAACAAAATACAGTGAAAAATCTTTTACAATATAGAGCTTTCCTATCTTGTTGACATAAAATTGCCCACACCAGCTGAAACTATTCCTAGAGATTTTTTGGAATTTGCCCCCATTCGCTACATGAATGTTCACATGATTAAAATCAATTCCTGTCTGTATATACAATATATGTATGTTTGGTTATACATGCTTCTCAAAATTACACTAAAAAAAGGCAAAGCAAAAAAAAATTATCAACAAAATTAACTATATAAAATAAGGCACCCCGTTTACAGAATTAATTGACTTATCTCTATATAGCAGTCATATCTCTCACATTAACTATAATTATACAGAAGTGGGCAGGTATATACATGTAAATTCATACATGCTTCCCAGCCATATTCCAATAGGAATAGTAAAAATGGGAAAATAAGATTGTGATAGAGAAAGAGAAATTGATAGTTTTACTGAGAAATAAAGAGAATTTTTTTTAAAAAAAATCCTAGATGGATGTGAAGCAAAAGGAGGAAATCATTGGGCCCAGAAAAAATAGTAAAGATTTACAAAAAAAAGTTTAATTCTGCAAGAAACAACCCTTCCTGAGGTACTCATCAAAGGATCCAGCTTTGTAGCAATATTTGCTACGTTTGCACCTCCTACTTATTGTTTATAACAGCATTTTTTTAATCAAAGAGAACCCCTCTGAACCCCACCAAACTTAGATTTTGTAGTATTTTGCTTGATAGTGTGGATTCAGATTTGGCTATCATCTCAACTAGGTTCTCAAACTGCTTTTTTCATTACATAGAGGGCAGACAAGTAAAATCAATAGTCTTAAAACCGTACTCAGTATTCCTAAATCAGGATAATTTATTTTTAACAGGAAGATTTGTAAATGTAAGAAAACTATTTTTCTTTATGAACGATCAAATATTGGCAGTATAATTTAAACTCACTAAAATCAAATAGTTAAATGAAAAGGGCAAACAAAAAGGTTATATTTCATATAAAATATTGTCTCATTTTAACTGCCACAAAAGTATTTCCATATAGCCCATGCGAAGCTGAGGTAAAATTATCCATTCTCCCAGGTGGTTATATTATCCTTTCAAATATTCTTATAAAAGTTGCAGTAGAGAAGACAAAAAAATATATATGCTGAAATAGAGGATTGTTGTGTGGGTGAGAGGAGGATGTGCTTGGACTTGAAAAGTCCTCTCCTCAATTTAGAGACATACAGGTATACAAACATCTTGCAGGTTCGCTGGAACTTATTTCTAAGATACTTCTAGAGGTCTGGGAGAATGAACTAAGTACATGTTGATTTTTGATACCATTACTACTACATTGGTGTCAGAAGCACCGACCAAGGCACCTGAGTTGAAAGGATTAGCCAGTGACATCACTTGTGCCTAATGGATGCCCAAAGGGGCCCCTTTCATGTCTCTGGTATTTTCCTACTGAAGTGGTACCTGTTTTATCTATCTGCATTTATAGAAAAGCACTTACATTGGCATGAACTAGAACAAATTTACAGGAGCTCATTCCATCATGAGGCTTGTAGTCACCCCACCCCACCCCACCCCACCCCGATATTTGATGTTGTTTCATCTTTGTAGCACCATTTTTTTAGCCTGGATAGAGTCCATAGTTAAAAGGGAATTGATCAGCATCCCAAATAACTCATTATGCAGGATTAGCTATAGCAACCCTGGAGAAAAAAATACCTTACCTTTCCTATATCTCCAATAATCTCTACGCCCTCTGTTCAGTTTGGACATCCCACATTCAAGCCTGAATAGTACATTGGGATACCCCAGAGTGTGGCTATGTTCGGATACCCCAGAGTGTGGCAAATAACATGATTTAAGTGAGTTTTAGAAAATATTTTCACTATTATAATATTCACTATTTCAATTATAGATAATGGCTATTTTTTACCATACTACGCACGAGAGAGGAATAGACGAAGCACACAGATAACTGTAAGATTTTCTGAAAATATGAATTCAAAGATCATCCGAAAAAAAGATCCAGTTCTACTTCTGCACTGGTGGAAAGAAATTGGTTGTACCATCTTATTTTGTATTATCGCCACAACTTTCATTGTGCGCAGGCTTTTCCATCCTGATGCTTATAGCCGGGTAAGTATAGGATTCTAGAAGTGAAAGTACACATATTTTAATGGAGAACTTTGCATCTAATCATCAGTATTAAAATAATTAAAAGGTATTTCAGATCAGCTTTGATTGTATGCTTCATCTTTAGTGCAATAAAAGTGACATTTAGAATTATAAACAAGATTTCTAAATTATTAATATTTTTCAATCATGTTCTTTAAATTTTTATACCATGTTTTCACACAACCACACCATATGGTCAGAAGGATGTTATGTGATACCACTCAACATCCAATGCCAGAGATTGAAAAAATTATCTTAAATAGTTCTGCAACTGTCACTTTTTAAATTTGCATCAGAGTAGCTGAGAATATTTATGAAATGTATACTGTTCAGTTTGAAGGACTCTAATAAATATACAAGAATAACAAAGTCAAAGCAAATATTTAAATATATGCAGAACACTAATACCTGAAAAGATTATATTAACATTTATGCTTTTGGTACCAGAAACTCCCTCCCAGCCGATACCAAAATACTTCTAAACAGCTAGGTTTTTACTTTCTACAAAAATATAACAAATTTTCTAATGAAGGAAACCCTAAGAGAAAATGCTCATTTTGAGATCCATCCTTTCTTTCTTTCTTCAGCAGCCATTCTCCCTACTCAGATTGAGTGGGTAATAGAATCTGTGATAATGGTTTTTGTGATATCTTATTTACCTGCATATTTTAGAAATCCAGAATACACATCTGAAATTAGATAATTTTCCTAATAACATTTCGGTTTCATTGACTTTTATTTGTTTTATTTGTCAGCAGCGGAAGGAGTCTGAAACTCAGTGTCAGACAGATAATAAAAATGAACAAACCAAAGACAACAGCAGAGATGACCTTAAGAATTTTGGATATATATCAAGGTAAAAGTAGTCATTCTTTGACAAAATGAATTCATTGCAATAGCCTTTGAAAAATAAACATTGATAGTTTTAATTTGCTTTAGTTTGTGTTAAAAGTAGTGGGTACATTTTATGTTGGAGGAGTATTATACTAGCATTATTACCAAATTCATTTTTCTTGAAAGCACAGTATCTCTACCTCTTTTCAATAAGTTGTCTCTTGCTGCTTTTTAAGAAGAGTAATAAGAGAAACTGTTGTTGCAAGGAGAAAAAATGAAGTTTTGGTATGCTTGTTAATGTCAGATAAATTGCTGGGTGTGGGATTATAAAAGCTTTAATGGTAACTGCTATTTCAATAATGCGTTGTTGTATGGTTTTCTGTGATGCATTTCCTTACCCTTTGAAAAAAAAACTTTAAATGGAGGAAGTATATTAAGATAATATTGGAAATACTGTATTTCAGGGTTTTACATGCAAATGATTAATTTTATGTTTCCCTAGATTAATTAATGAAATTTCGAATAAAATATGAAACTGTTTTAAAAATAAACTGATAAAGATTGCTAAGTAACAACAATAAAAAACCCATTAGCAGCTTTATAAGAGACTTGTGCTTTCATGCTCATCATTACTGGTAGCCAGAGCCTCTATACCTGTGATGGCGAACATATGGCACGCGTGCCACAGGTGGCAAGCAGAACCATTTGTGCCAGCACGCGAGCTGCAGGCAAGCTTACCTCACTGCGCATGTGCATGTCTCACAGCGGATTTTCAGCCAGTTTGAGGCTTTTTTCGGCCTCCCAAAGGCTTGACGAAGGTTTCTGCAGGCTTTGCAGGCTGAAAACTAGCCCCGTTTCATCGCTTCCTGTTTTTCTGAAAATACCAGAAGTGATGAAATGGGGCTAGTTTTTGGCCTGCAGAAGCCTTCCTAAAGCCTTTGGGGGACCAAAAAAGGCCTCAAACTGACCAAAAATCAGCTGTGAGCTGCAGTGCAGGTAAGGGGGTGGTAGGGGTGGATGGGTGGGGATTGCACGTGCATGCGTGCGGGGCATGCGTTGCCCTCCGGGTGCTGGAGTGCGAGCGTGCAAGCATGCACACAATTTTTTGCACAGGAGCCCAAAAAGGTTAGCCACCACTGCTCTATACTGACTTATCTGTCAATCCACAACACAAACTTCATGACCGGCATACATTAAGAGATCACTGGTCTCTTAGTAGACCAGTTAAAAATATATTCTGTTGAACTGAAAGTGTAAGTAATAATAAAATTCAGGCTTCTTTAACCTCAGTGTTGATCAAGGAGTGACTTTTTTTCTTCAGTAGCAAATGCGGACATCAAGCAACTATTAGCAGGTCATTATGTTGAATGTCTGTTCACATACATTGACCAGACAACTAACAACTCAAATATGTGAATCATCAAATAAAAGCCTATGTTAAATTAGTAGTGTGCAAGTACAGGAAAAATCAGTTTACTTTGTGTTTTCTTGCAGGTATCTGACAGATTTTGAACCAGTTCAATGTCTCGGTCGTGGAGGTTTCGGAGTAGTATTTGAAGCCAGAAACAAAGTTGACGATTGTAACTATGCTATTAAAAGAATTCGTCTTCCAAATAGGTAATTACATATCTTTCTGGTTGTTTTCATATTCTGCTCTAGATGGCACCAAGGATCATATATTGTTTGGTGTTGTTTTAGAACCATTTTATTCAATGGCTGGGAAAGTTTTCAAAATTTAAAAAGTAACATTAGATATTATAAGAAATCAGTGTTAGTAGTTTCAATAATAATTATAGCATAAATAATTTCAGTAAAATTTTCAACATTCTCTTGGAACCTTCTATAAATGTCCTTCAACTGTATTTTTTAAAAAATTACGAAGTGACTCTAGTTAAGAATATTTTTGTTGTGGTTTGAAACATTTTATGTTGGAATACTTGCATTATTTCTACATCCATGTAATGTGAGGACTACTAGAAAAAGAAGTTTAAGTTCTCCAGCTTTTAACTCAAAAGGGTTCAGTTCTGAAATTATAACGATATGCATAAAAGAGTTCAAATAAAATTTTGGGTTGAATACGTTTTTTCCAAGAAAATAGACTATTTCAATTAATTACTGAGTAGGATGTATAATTTACATGCAAGGAAATGAAAGAAAATCTATTTTGTCAGCTGAAAAGGTCAAATGTTAAATGACCAATTTACCCAGCATAAATCTTTTTTTTGTCGCATTATCTCAAATTTTAGAGAGCTGGCACGTGAAAAGGTCATGCGTGAAGTTAAAGCATTAGCAAAACTTGAACACCCTTCTATTGTTCGATATTTCAATGCTTGGTTAGAAGCACCACCTGAGAGCTGGCAAGAAAGAATGGATGCACTGTGGTTGAAAGATGAGAGGTATTTACTTTAGTTTTTAGAAAATGTATACATTCATTAAAGGGCTCTGGAAATAACAAATCTTTAACAAATCTTGTTAAATCAAAATTTTGCAGAATAGTATCTATAGAGGAACCAAGACATAGTCAGAAGAATATAATGTAGCCACTTCGATAAAAACTGAGAAATGTGGCTCTGGTGTAATGCCTGGATTGGAGATTTGACGGAACTCACTTTATTATTCCATTATTGCTTCAGTAGGGGATAAAAGTCAGGATATACATGTATTGAATAACTCAGAAACTAAAAAGAGGACTCAGACAGTGTAAATTCTCCCCTCAATAGGGGAGTATTGTCTATTTGTGCGTTTATAGGTCTAATATAGTTTGGTAGTTGTGATTTAATATGCAAACCTCTCACTCATTTTTGCTTAGTATTTCTATGTTTTAAAAAGTGTTAAAAATTGACATGCATTTTCAGAAATGCTTTTTCCATTGCATAAAATTTCTGGCACAGGTTTTAGAGCAGCAAACCATCCCAAAATTCATGGAATGCAGATTTTGGGAAGAATGTACCTTTTGATCAAAGGTACAAGCATGGTAAATTTTTCTTCTCATCAATTCCTCATCATTAAGTATTGCTTTTCTCTTTAATGCTATTTTTTTCAGTGTAGTTCAAATCAAGATTTGGTACTTGACTTAATAACAGTTTGTTCAGCCTCCACAGTCGTATGATTGCAAACTGGGCTATTGCCAACTATTTGCACATACAACAGGTAGCTAATCCCTTTGCAATCATGTGATCATGATTTGTAGTCTACCCTCCCGGCTTCCTCAGAAAATCAGCAGAAAAAGCAAGCCATTTCCTTTCTCTAACACAGCACACAGTTTCCATACCCTCCTGATGTGGAAGGGAGCTGGCACACTGAGCTAGAGAAAGGAAACTCAGATCATCAGGATCCAAGCTTCCTTTTTTTTTGGCCCAGCACACCAGTTCTGCACACAGAGAGAAGCTGTCCATCCTCTTTCATCGGGAAGCTCTTTTACTCTGTTCATTTAGTGACCCATGCAGCAGGTGCTTAGCAATCTCAGGAAGGCTAAGATGGTGATTAAGCAAGGCAGTCTGTCAGCACCTCACAGGCAAGCTCCATTACCTGTATTGCATATTTTAAAAATGATTCAAAGTAAGACAATTTATTTATAAAAAAAAATAGAAAAGTGTGTCAAAAAAACCATCTAGTGGGCCATCAAGTCTGCCCACTAGATGAATTATTTGTTTTTCTTTTCCTCTTGATTTATTTATTTATTATTTTACCTATTTTTTATTTTATTTATTTTTAACTTTTTATCAGATGATAGACATTTTATCCCAAATATGTTTAAACTCAGTTACTGATGACTGACCCACTACCTCCAACCTTCCCCTACTCTTTCTGTGAAGTAACAGTTTTACTTTTGAAGTTCTCTCCTGAAAAATGTGAAGTTACGCCCTGTGTTCTTGATTTTTGATTAATAATCTAGGCCTTTCTAGGGTTGTATAAGGTCTGTTGGATGAATCTCCAAAAGTAAAAAGAAATAATTATGATTGTACAAATTTATTTAAACTCTGAAAACTCTTAACACTTGCATTATCAACCCTTTACACTTTCATAATGATAGAGGCTGAAAGAGTATTGCTGGAAGTGGATTGATCCATACAAAATTCTTTCTTTCATCTAGCATTTACAAGATATGTCAAATTAGTTTGAGAAATCATGTTAAATTATGAGATTGTTAAGAGTTTTAAATAGCACTTCCTACTGTAATAAATTAATAAATTCCCATTAATAAAAAAGATGCTAGAACCCATAAAAGGAAGAAGGAATCCACATCATCTGCTCCCTTCTACTGAGGTAAGTAGGACTGTGGGAAGATTGGAGAATAAGTTACTATCTTAGAAGAAATCTTGAAATGTTCCTGTTAAAATATTCAGATATTCAATATTCCTTTATACTCTGAATGGTGTAAAAAGTAACTTGATGATGAATCTAATGATTTAAAATGATTTAGTACGGTATGCCCAATTTGAAAATAATTTGGAAAAAATTACAAACCTTGTGCAAATGTGACACATCCTATACGGCTAATTAGCCGTAACCATACTCTTGTTTAAACTTATGTATAAGCCTAAAAAGAACCAGGTATTTTATAGAGTTGTCTTGTTAAACAATTGGCATATTTTTTCAAATTCTAAAGGAAGGATGCAAAACTTCATGACTACTTGAATGAATAGCAAAGAGGTTCTGGGCTCATGCAGAGTCCAAAGCATTCCAAATCATTTTTGAAGCATACCTCAATTCATAGACATGGAAAAAGCTTTGTATTTTTGCTCTGTGGGCAACATATGGTAAGATTAATTTATAATGTTATCTTCTGCTTTTTTAAATATATTTAAAGTATTGATTGGCCACTCAGTTCTCCCAGTCCAATGGAGGTGCCATCGTTTAAAATTAAAACAGAGCCATTCTCTACTGAGGAAAACATTGAAGTCATTGCTACATCTGTAGAAAAGAAGACTCTGCTTTCTGTAGGATTGCCTTTTGACCAGTCAGATTCATCAGAGAATGAATTTTCTCCTTTGGAGTTTTCTGCCATTGAGAACAGAAGTGCACAAGATAATTTCATCGATAGCTCTGATATGGAAAGCAGTCTTGATAATAATGATCCAATACATTCCTTTGAAGTTTATCTTCCTGCTAAATCGGTAGTAAGGTTGAGGGAGCGAACATCTTCTTCTATTGTCTTTGAAGACTCTAGTTGTGACAATTCTTCCAATAAAGAGGGTAATGTTACCAGCTTGCTTCATGATAGCCATTTTGAAGGTAAAGCGACAAGCACAAGAGAATCCAATAATAGAAAGTCATCATCAACAAGCTCTTTATCTATTTCTCCACCAAGACCAACAACTTTAAGTTTGGACTGCTCTAACAACTCTACTCAAAAGCGTTTACCTACCACTCCAAAAGTGTATCTTTATATCCAGATGCAACTTTGTAGGAAAGAAAACCTTAAAGATTGGATGAATAGAAGATGTACAATAGAGGAGAGAGAAAGGACTGAGTGCCTTGTGATATTTCTGCAAATAGCTGAAGCTGTCCAGTTCCTGCATAGTAAAGGATTAATGCATCGGGATCTCAAGGTTCGTACTGAAAATACAATGTAGAGCAAGTTATTTAATTATATGTATGTATTTGAAAAGTATTTTCATGTCTCACAGAATTATTTCTTCATTGTTGTATGTTAAGAAGGATATCAAGGAAAAACTACTATTTATTATTATACTATTTATTATTTATTAGTAATCTTTATCAGTTGCAGTGTGAACATAAAGTAAATTATATAATACTAATTTATTAAGCATGTATCCTGCCCAACTATCAGTGACTATAATCCAGAAAAATCAGTCAAAGCAATTTTAATAAACTATTAAAAATAAATAAAAATGTTATGCAGTATGAAAATATGGAAAAATATGGAAAAATTACTCATGAAAAAATACTGTCATAAAATATAAATATAAATAATTCAGAGAAATAAAATCCCCCAATAAATAAGTTTATTGTTGCAGCCATAGGTTGTAATATTACAGGGTGCCATAAAATACAATAAATAACAGGGAAATAGAAAAACTGTAAAATAAAGTAATGAAAAAAGTACAGGTAACCCTCAATGTAACAAAAATTCATTTAATGACCATTCATAGTTACAATGGTACTGAAAAATGTGACTTATAACCAGTCCCACATCTATAACTGACACAGTATTCCCACAATCATGTGATTACTTGGCAGTGGCATATACAGGTAATCCTTGAGTTATAGTCACAATTGAGCCCAATATTTATGTTGTAAACGAAACATTTGTTAAGCAAGTTTATTCCATTTTATGATCTTTCTTGCCACAGTTGTTAAATGAATCATGTATTTGTTAATTCGTTTATTATGTGGTTAATTATATGGTTGTTAAATGAATTTGGATTCCCCATTGACTTTGCTTGTCAGAAGGTTGTAAAAGCTTATCACATGACCCCCATGTCATAAATATGAGTCAGTTGCCAAACATCTGAATTTTTTCAGTGCTGTTCTAACAGTCACTAAATAAACTGTCGTAAGTCGAAGATCACTTTAATTAAAAAGGTTGCAGCATCCTGGGAACATGTCACTGCGATTTATGACCATTCCTAGTCAGTTCTAGCAAGCAAAGTAAATAAAGAAAACCAGATTCTTACAAATGGCATGATTCACTTACCTGCAGTGATTGTAATCATAGCAAAAAAGTAATAAAAATGAATGTAACAAGAGAAATTCTGGTCTCAATTGTGGTTGTAAGTCAAGGACTACCCGTATTAGATATAAAGAAAACTTACAGCAAAATAAACCTAAGCTACAACTAAGAACTTAAGTACGGTATTCCTTTCTAAGTTTAAATGACAGCAGAGAAAATGTAGTAACTTGTCACCAACAATTCAAAATATATTTGCAAGAAGATAATTCAGTTTTTCAAGATTGAAGCCCTTGAATTAACATACCATCAATAATTTGGGCCTAATTTCATTGAACATAAGGCAGCAGAAGTTGTAATGGATAATGTCCTTTGCTTGAGCAACTCCACAAGTACAGAGGTGTTGTTTGAGAGAGAGTTTACAAAAAGAAATATTTCCCTTTGGATATTTGAAAGACATGGTTTGCAGGTAAAGATATGTTAAAACCCTTCCAGTGGTTCCACTGGTTATGTTAACTAGATTCCTGGAAAAGTGTCTATGTTTTTTAATGATGCTAAGATGAACATTTGGGTGATTGTACCTCAGTGGCATCCGTCTTAAAAAGTCTTACTTTGTTATTTTATCTGTTCCGAGAACTAAAGTTTCCAAAATAAATGGGTAACAGAAATTTGGTCCATTGGATCCCAACTGTGTAATAGAGAAAACAGAGTTTGGCAAGATGGGATTTGTTAGGGATACACCCTAGCAAGATCTGCACAGGGGCAGTCAGGCAGGCAGGCAAAATATGTGAGATAAGTGTTGTGTAGCTTACACTCAGTAAAAGCAGATACAGTGCCAATTAAATTAGTTTTATTCCAGCAATAGTTTAAGCATAGTCAAAAACAGTCCATATGTCATACACTTATTTCAGTCCATCCAGGGATTATCCAGTTGCAAAATTCCAATGTCAAAAATGATCAGTACACTTACAAAATAACAGTCCGGTAATTTATCTCTTCGCAGTAAAAAGAGATATGCAACAAACTCAACTCAAGTTCCGTCTGCAACTCCACTAATTGCTAGCAAAGCGTCAGGGAATCGTCAGCTTCTCGTCAGCATCTCGTTAGGTCGTCTTGCTGCCTCTTATGGTGTTTTCACACCACACCCAAAATACATGCTTTGCATTTAAAGTAACACACACTTTAAACTAAGAATCATAGCTTATATATACATTATCTTACCCAAACTAGTTAGGTGACCAATGCTATACCTAACAGGATTCTTGAAGCTTTTTAGCTTCTTATAATGCCTAACAATGCAAAATGTATTCTAATGATGATGGAAGGTATCCTATCTCCATCCTAAAATAGGTAGCGAGGGTGTCCTGAATATGAGTCCCAAGATCTTCCTAATGATGTTGTTTTGTACTGCTTCTAAATGGGCAATAACTTTCTCACCTCTCCCCCAGATCTTAGCCCCATATAACAATTGGGCAATCATCTTCCCTTAAAATATTTTAACTTCAGGGGCCACCATAACATGCACAGAGTACACAGTACATTTAGTAATGCCATTAGTAAATTATGATATTAGTTGCATTAAACAATGCTATTTGAGATTTTGCTGAAGTGTTAAGAGTTGAGGTCATATTTTGAGACATATTTAAAATCAGTTTAGTTTCTTTCAGGGTGGATAAAAATTTATTTTTTTTCCAGATTTTTTTAAATTTAAATTGGATTTTTTTTTATCATTTTTTTTTATAAAATGCTTTTGGAGTAAAAATCTAAAGGTAGTTTTCTATTTAAGATACATTAATAATTTAGTTTATTCAGCATGAAAGGGAGCTGGGTTATGTAGCATGGGGCTTTATATTCTGCAATATCGGGACCTTTGGTGAATCAACAGCGGATCAAGAGGAGCCATCGCGGGACAGAGATGACAGTTATTCTTTAAAAATTATTATTTAAATTGAGTTGATTTAAATCAAACTTTTTTAGTAGTGATTTAAATCGTGATCAAATCCACCCTGATCTATTTAGTATCAAGTTTTCATTTAGTGTTTTGAAATTTCTTTTAGTGTTTTTTCATCTCCTTCTTCCTAAGTTGTAATGTTTTTCAGTTCAGATGACAAAACTTTTACCAGAAGATGATATTTCAGGCAGTTTCAAAGCAATCAGGAGTGACTTGCATTCCTGGAAATTAGGTCACAGATTTTCTCTTTTCCCTATTCCATTTGTAATAGCAGGTTCTTATCATTAAGAACTGTATTGGAAATCCAGATTGGACAGTGATATATTTTTCAGAATGTGGAAATAGATTATAAAAGACCCGATTCTGCTTTCATGAGCTTCAGAGGAGATACAATTTGGCTGATGAATCTAGGGAAAAGAACAAAAATTAAAACTTTAATATTGAGCTTTTATTTTAACTGCTAAATTTTTGGTGAATGGGAACTTTTATGAATATTGCCCTTATTGCCTTCTGGGCTCATTTAGCAAGAAATAAATCTTAGGATCCTAGTTTCCAGTTTTGAAACCTGATCACAAACTGAAAGCTGCTACACATATCTTGTTAATAATAGGTAAGTGATTCATTTTGATCCAGAATCACATGAGAAATTTACACTGTGGAATAACGCAAATTTGTAGATAGTAGTGTAGATGTTCTATGGCAGGAATGTCAAACTGGGGGCTGGATTCGGCCCATGGCGTACTTAGATCTGGCCCACGGGGTCACTCTGGAAACAGTGAAGTACCAACCTGTGGTGCTTCTACCATCGAAAATGGGTTCCCGAGCTCTGTTTCTGGCTGCCACTGCCTCCTGCAACCCTCTGCCAGTGAAAACACAGCTCCATTTGGCAGAGGGTTGCAGGAGTAACATCAAGCTGGCCGCGCCTTCCCTGGCCACAACCACCCTGCCCCCCTGAGATTAAACACAATCCTAATGTGGCCCTCAATGAAATTGATTTTGACAGCCCTGTTCTATGGGAACATGTGGACCCCCCAAAAAAAATAAGTTGATTTTTTAAAGACTTTGTATTCCAAATATGATTCTACTTCATAAGATACACAGTTGAGACCTGTACCACAACCAATTATGGTCCCAGATATCAGGAATATTAGAATGTTTAAAAGATACAATATTTGAAGTGAAACAATTTTATATAAAATTCAAAACTGAAAACTAATCATATCTGAAATGTGGAACATAATAATTGTAATATCTAGTCTTGAAAATCTGGTGATCCAGATCTTAAGTAGTAGGGGAAAAATCTTTCTTGTAACTCAAGAACAGAGTTAGTCTAAAAACCAGAGTATGTTTAAAAAACTTGGCCATTATTTTTTTCCTTTTGTAAGAAATTTCAGAGCTGTTTAATTCATATATTTGGTCAATAGTCAATAGTCTCTTTGTTTTGAAGTCATATATGTTAATGGAATTAATTATGAATATGTAAATATGTTAAATTATTTTCTTGAAATATGGAATTTGTAAGACTATGTCAAGCCTGGGGTTCAACAGAGTATAAATTTACATAAGTGGAAAGATACTATAATATACAGCATGTGTATTTTTTAAATTACATGATTACTTTAAATATTTTTGTTGATTTATTTGTATGTTGTACATTACAATTAATACGAGTTCTAATAATGTGATATTGTGAATTCTAAATTGAAAACAGTCACATTTAATGCAACCTAAAATACAGTTATTGTGAGTTTAACACATACACAATTGAGGTTAGCACAGGCACACTTGCAATTTTGAGGTTTAGGCATAGCTAATCATTCAGTGTGATATTGAAATGTCTGAATCTATGGTAGATTTTTTTGTTGTTTTTACTTTACATAGCACCATTTCATTAACCATAAATTTAATTTATAAATATATTATCTTCATCCTTTACATAATATTTGATTAATGTGCATATAAAATTTATGTTTAAAGAGTTTTATTGAACATATTTCCATAAAAGTATGATTTTAAATAGTGCAAACTCATGTAATTTATCCACTTCCTGGGATTCGTTAACCACACTAATTGAAACTTACCTGTATTTCATTGATGAAATAAACTTTTTAAAATTTCAAACAAAGACCATATAGGAAGATTAGGGATAGAAGGTTGGAAGATGTAATGATATGATTTTATATGATACAGAGTATATTGTTTAATGCCTTTATTGTAATTTTCTTCATGTTCATTTGTTTGTATACAGCCTTCCAACATTTTTTTTACAATGGATAACATAGTAAAAGTTGGAGATTTGGGCCTAGTAACTGCAATGGATCATGATGAGGAGGAAGAGTCTGTTTTAACACCAATGCCAGCTTATGACAGACACACAGGACAAGTTGGGACCAAACTGTATATGAGTCCAGAACAGGTATGCTTTTTATCTGATTTACAGGGTTCTGGTAATGCTGTTTCATAAATCAAAAAGTAAATGTTGGCACAATTATTTAGTACATATCAAGTATGAGTCAGAAAGTTCCCTATTTTGAATTTTGCCACATCAACAATAATATTTTTTGACTGAATAATATTTTCTGACTTATTAGAAAGTAGTAATAAGGAATACCTTATTCAGAGAAATTATATGATATGTTTTAATTACTTTGTGTTTGCATTATGTTATTTCCCCATTTAGGAGTTAAATGGCTTTTATTATAGTTTTGGTGATTTTATTTTTACTCCAGTACATTGTAGAAATAACATCAATATTTTGATATTTCGACTGAAGAGTGTTTTAGAATGAATGTATAACATGCAACATACAAAAATCAGCGCTCCAAGATGGGAGTTCTTGTTCAGTGTGCCAGGCAGCTAGATCTTTCTAGATACTCAATTTCATTTTCACCTCCCAAATTTCTACCCTGTTTTATAATCGGTTAAGCATGAAGCTCTTTTAATTTTTGTCCTTGGTGTGTTTTTTGTTTTCTCCCTCTAAGATTTTTTTTCCAAAACTGGCAAGCCTGAGGTTCCTCCAGATATGTTAATGGCTCACTATTATTTTTGTGCAACTTAATGTTGTGTATACTTCTGTTAGCTAATATTTTTGAAATTCTAAAAAAAACATTGCTTTATTAATAAAGGTTTTAAAAAATATAAATGAGTGAAATGAATATCCCACAACTCTCTGGAACATTTGAATGAAACATACATGTTTGCTATTATGAGTTAAATGTATCATTTTACAAATGCACATAGTGTCTAGTCGTGATTATTTGATATGTTGTTCATGAGATGTCTTGGGCAGAAATATTAGTGGGAAATAAAAATATAGCCTGATGGTTCAGTTTTTGATGGTTACTTCTTATTTTAAATTTTACAGATTTATGGAAATGCTTATTCACACAAAGTCGATATATTTTCCTTAGGATTGATTTTGTTTGAGCTTCTTTATCCTTTCAGCACTCAGATGGAGAGAGTCAGGGTAGGTATGCCCTTCTGAAAATATTCTTGGGAGGAAAATCAATTATACTTTAGCAATAAACTGAAAATTGTAAATTTACCATTAGGTACAAAATTTGCACAAAGAAAGAATAATTATTATTATTTTATCTGTGAGTCTATAATTCCTATGGAGAAGCTATAATTGAAGTTAATTTGGTTTAAAAGTTTAGGAGTATAAAATGGCTTGTCAAATATATATGATCAGAAATTGGGGTGGTTTTTATATTGTTTTTTTTAATATGATTTTTTTTTTATGTCAAGATAAAGTTTTCTGAAAGCTTGTATAAATATAATTACTGAGTGAATAGAAGTAATGTATTGGACTTAGAGTAGTATCAGGATAGGCACTTGTACAAGAATAAAAACTTGTAATAATGTATTTCTGTAATCTAAAAAAGCAGATATGGTAGTCTAAATTACAAAGAAAGGGGTCATTAACATAATTGTATGGTGTTACAACTGAAAGAAATTAAAACACACTTATTATGAAACTGCAGTATATTTGCTTTCATAAAAAGAAAATATTGTCATCCTTAGGACTTGGAGCTGAAACATGTAATTCATATTTCAATGCAAGTAACATTTTCTTTTAAAATGTTTTTACAGATTTTAAGTGAAGTAAGAAACTTGACTTTCCCACCATTGTTCATAAAGGAATATGCACTGGAGGTATATTGAAATTTAAATTTCTAGCTTAGACATGTGCTTTGGGGTTTTATCAGGACAAACTGCATTTATTTTATTAAAAATTATAAGCCTGCTTGGTAAATTGTACTATTAATCTGCTATGCTTGATCTCTCCTTCATGACTTAAATCATTAACTGAGGAAATTAAATTTGGGTTATTGGATCCAAGAGATAATGAATGCATGCTTGATGTCATTGGGAGACTTCATTTGAAATCCCCACCCCCAAATACTACTTTTCTAGGCACAGTTGTCACTTTTATCATTCTGGAGAAGGGAAAATTCAGTATTCCCACCCCCCCACCCCCCCAAAAAAGGGTTATAATTTGAACTTGTTTCTAAACTTTGTTTTAAACAACACAAATGTTGAGATAATTCACCATTAGGAGAATGAGCGCACACAGGGAGACGTAGTGAGAGTGGTGAAGAATAACACACACACAGCACACAGCTACACTGTATAGTAAAATGTAGGTTTTTACTTCCAGTAAAACAGTTAAGCAAAGTTCAACAAAACAGTCCAAGTCATTATCAGTTAAAGCAGTCAGTTTTCAGTCCATGAATAATCCAAATAATAAAGTCCAGTATCATAAACAGTTCAGTAACAGACTTACATCAAATCCAAGAACAACAGTCAATAGGAAAAAATGGAGGAAAGGCAACACTCTCCAGAAACAACAGAACGGGAACAAGGCAGGTTTCTGGCTCCATCTTATGGCCACTTGAGGAACTACACTGAATTACAATTTTAGCATTCCCTTAAAGAGATAGTATTAAAATGTCTCCTGGTTTATATATTTTCCAATCCATCTGTTAGGTGACTTACATTCCTAACAACAAATGATCTTTATATACACTTTCCTATCTAAAGCTAATTATCCAGCTATATTCATTCTAGAATAAAGCCACACTGCCTTCCTTTCCATGCTTAATGTCTTTGTACTGATCATTTTATTAAGACACAAATGCTTGAAATATTGCATTTGGAGATCCTCCTATGGCTTTCTTGCCATCTAAACTGATACAGATAATGCTTTGCAGATATCTAATGCTGTCTAATGCTAGCATATTATAATTCTAATATATATATTAATGCCAGAGAGTATTTAAGGTATGAGATAAAACAGATCAGAATGAGACAACATCTATTCATCGCTGTTGTGCAGAATTTTTTTAGTCAATGCCTGAAAAGTGTGTTTGCATTTACTTTGTAATAAGGGGACAGCAGTTAGATAATGCTATCAACGGAAGATGTTTCACCATCTTAAATAATATTGTTTCTTATGTTTTAGCATAAGATGGTAAAGCACATGCTCTCCCCAAGTCCCACAGAAAGACCAGAGGCTGCAGACATTATCGAAAATCCTCTCTTTGAAGATTTGGAATTCCTTGTAAAACCAGTGCTCAGGCAACGATCCCGGACAATGAGTTCATCTGGAGTCAAGCATTCAAGATAGCTGAGTAAATAATTTGGCACAATTATAGGAACCCTCAGAGAGAATTTAAATGACCATTTAATGCATTCCTGCAATATTCATATTCAATTTGTGTTATCTGATCCATGCACAACACTATTACCAAGTGAAACTAAGAACTGAATGCTTTCAGACTTTTTCAAGTGAATGATTTTCACCTCAAATCCTGGCCTGATCTAATAACAGTACATTATTTGCAACTGAATCTTGTACAAATGATGCTTATTATGTAAATAAAACTAAATTCTGTATTTTTATAGAAACAATGTCTTCTAGTACCAATAAACCACCCTTGATTTTTTATAATAAAAAAATGAAGATGATCTGAAAGGATACTAGAAGAGTAAATTCAGTTTTGTCCCTGGTAACATACAAAGTGAAAATGGTTTTACTGTCAGTTGCCAGATTGAGAGCAATAGTGTGATAGGCTTCTTTTCAGAGAAGTAAATTGAAGAAAATGTTTAGATTGAATGAAAAATATGTTGATTAAAAAAAGAAAACACTACTTTGGATACAGTTTTGAGTTGTACCAGAACCAAATGAGGCAATTTTTTTTTTTTGTAATTCCAGGAATATATGCCTAATATAATGTTGATATAAAAATGTTCTAGTAATCAAGTCTTACATATTTCTCAGCTAAAATGTTACTGTTTAATAATGCAAATAATGCCTTTTTCAATGTAAATATGTTGATTTTTATTTATACAATTGGAAGAACAATCCATTTGGGTTGATAGTGTACAGCATGCACTTAAGAGAATTATTAAGTGCATTAAACTACTGTGACTTTTTTCAAGTCTGATTTAATAAAATAATTTTCATTTGGTTGTAACTGTGTGGTCTTTCAAGTTTGAATGAAAATAGCTTAATTTTACCATTTCATCCCTGTTTGTATATGGTAGCTTTCCAGCATCCTGCTAAATTTCCTACCTCTCTCCCCTGCTGCATACTTGCTGCTTCTTGTACCCTGTCTTCCCAGACATGTAGGAATCTCTCAGCTCCCCACTGCATTCATCACCTTCACCTGCCTCCTTACTGGGACTCTTCTTCAAGCCATTCATAGCAGATGAGAAAACCCAAGCCAAAAAAGTGCTTCTTTAAAATAAATTTTAAAAACACACAATCAATCAATCAATAATACATGTACAAATATATTTGCAACTCTCTTTTCCGTGTGTCATATCCAGGAAATAAGTAATTGTATTTTTGCCATTATAAATTATAAATATTTTCCAGCTAGTTAATTTTTAACAAGTCATGTAAGAAATGGATGGATACTTGTTTCTCCTTCAAATTCAGCCATGTTTTGCATATCTTTAAATTTGAAGGAAATCTTTCTACCAAAGTGAAAGAAAAGTTATCAAATATTTATTTCCATGTGGATTTGCTTAAAATGCAAACCAGTAGTTTATATAAAAACAAGTTAGTGTTTTTCAGTGCCTGACTCCTCAAAATCAGATGGTTCCCACCAAATCATAAATGTGATTTGAAAAAGAAAATAGATCAAGGAAAAATCAAAAAGCTTTTTATGTATATATCGGTATATATTGTTTGCCTTTGTGTGTTTGTTACCCATTTGCATATTTTTGTGTTAAAAAGAAAGCTGTATTTACATTCTCTTTTTCAAGATTAACCTCTGCAAATTAATATGGGGACACTCAAAGGCTTGGGATATAACTCTTAAGTTCTTCCTATTTTTTCCCCTTTACCTCAAAATGCCAACACCTACTGAGTTCAAACTTTAAAAAGTAACATTCTGAACAAGGGTGTAAAAGAGCTAGGATGTCTGAAATAGACATACTTTATTTGGGCTGCAAAAATTCAGAGAATGACAAAATGGTAGCAAAGAATTTTGCTGCCGATTTTTTTTTTTGTCAGAAGCACAATATGCCTTGTCTATAGAACAGTATATTTGAATACTTGAGGGGAATTTTCCCATAGAGATGCAATCAGAAATGGAGAGAAATTAGGCACATTGTAAATAAAACACAAGATGACTGGAATAGAAGAAATTGTAAATGTCAAAACCATTTTAGTTCTTAATGGTTATTAATTTAAACCAGGAAGTATTTCTGATGAGCAAGTTAAGATAAAGGGGTCAAGCCAGAGATTCCTTTTAAATATTTACCGAAGTGAGCATGGAAAATTATACCTGTCCATAAATAACTTAGTCTTCACTTTATAAGTTTCTATATTTTCAAAGTTAACAGTAGTGCAAAATTAAGGTATTAAAATAAAGCTCAGTTGTGCATGTATTGAAAATCATAACTTTGAAAAAAAATATCTAGAGAGAACCAACTGAAGTTGTTCCATTAATAATAAATTCCAGTTAAACCTATCTCAATATAAGAAGGAAGAGTTGTTAACTGTTTATGTGGATGTTGTGTGGAAGTTAGGCCCCTGCCATAAAACAAGCAAACTAGAATACATATCCAACCTCAGCATCCTGAGATAGCTATTGCAGCTTTTATACTGATATTTCAACCTTAGCCACTTTAGGGCATGTGGACTAACTTCCAGAATTGCCAAGTTTGAGTAACAATGCTTTATACCATTAGTGGTTCTTTTCCCAAAAACCAAGCTTGTTTTTGATCCCTGTTTTGAGGGATGCTTCCCTGTGCTTTGAAAAATCAAAATGACAAGATTGTGGTCTCTGTCACTGACTGAGAGTTTGTGCAGTCTACTGCCGAGTAATTCAGTATGATATGGGAGCATTAATTTAAGAGTGCAAGACAGTGATTTGATCTTGATCATAGAGATTCATCACAAATGAAGGCCTGCCAGTATGCTAAGAAAAACTAGTACTTGTCATCAGCATTCATCTGTACACATACATTGTTTCTAGGTATTCAATATTTGAAAGCATATTATCCCTGAGTTAGATAAAATACAGCCATTATGCCTTAAAGCCATTGATGAGATTAACCTGAAATTCATTCAAATGGTAGGACAAAACTAGCAGCTGCTGTATATTTGTATAAGTGTAGCTTTATGTTGGGTTGAGAAGTTTTTCCTTTAATCTCTTAAACCAGTTTTTATTCAGTTTTATTGGATGACCTGTGGTCTGAATATTAGGACAAATCTTCCTTCCCCACACTTTATATAATTTTTGCATGCCTTTTTCCCCCCAGGCAAGAAGTTCCAAATTTTTGACATTTGCCATCTTCCCAACTTTATAACATTCTTTTTTTGAGGTACAAATACCAGAATTATATACCATCAATTTTGGAAATGTATTTGAAAGAAAGATTTGAATAAAAAATACAATTTTGTTATTATTTATTTCATAAGATTCTGGTTACGTTTTTCAGAGTAATTCTTCAATGGGTTTTTTTCCTGGAGCCTTTTACCCAATCCAAGAAAATTCCTGGTTAGTCTCTGTTAGCCAAGACTTCACTTATATACATGTGATTTTTTTCCCGTCCCAAGATGCATCATTTTATCTTTTGTTTACACTGGACCACATCCTTCCAGACTGCAGGAATTGTTTTGGAGGCTCTTCCTTGGGATAACTTCCTTAATTTAATTATGTCCTGTTATATAACACCACTTGTTTGCAGTATTCCACAGGGCTTGGTGCCCAATACTCTCTCCACTCTTGTTTAATATCTACATGAAGCTGCTGGGTGAGCTCTTCTGTCCCCATGGGTTGAGGTATCAATATGCGGATGAAAAGGTGGCGCAGTGGTCAGAATGTGATATTGCAGGCTAATTCTGCTGATTGCCTATTGCCAGCAGTTCAGCAGTTTGATTCTCACCAGCTCAAGGTTGATTCAGCCTTTCGTCTTTCCAAGGTGAAGGCCCAGATTGTTGAGGGAAATACACTGACTATAAACCACTTAGAGAGGGCTGTAGAGCATGTGAAGCAGTATATAAGCTATTGCTATAATCAGCTCTACATCTCTATACATGGCAACCCGAGTGATGGTGTCTCTGCCCTTCCATGATGCTTGGAAGCTGTAGGGATCTGGATGAGGCACAACAGACTTCAACTATATCCTGGCAAAATTGAGTGGCTTTCGGTGCATGGAGCCTCAAGAATTGAGTGTTTGTCCTCCTTAGTTCTGGACAGGGTTGCACTACCTTGTTTAGATCCAGTTCACTACCTATAGCTTCTTTTGGTCTAATAGGGTTAATAATAACAGAGTTGGAAGGTACTTTGGAGTTCCTTCCAACCCCCTACTCAACAGGAAACTACTATTTCAGACAAATGGTTGTCTAATCTCTTCTTAAAATCCTCCGGTTGGAGTACAACTTCTGGAGGGAAGACTTTCCATTTCTGTCAGGAAATGCCTCCTTAGTTCTAGGCTGCTTCTCTCCTTGATTGCATAGCTACCTGCATATTTTTATTTCCGAAACTAATAACAGAATATGTGATAGTGTTTTTTTTTTTAACAAGAAAATGCGCATGAGGATCTCAGCCCAAATACTGTCTAAGGAAAATATTTTTAAAATTAGATTGTATTTATGTATTTACCTGTAAATTATTGCAATATGCTGTCCATTAATTTATCATAGAAGTTGCTTGAAAGTGCCAGTTGAAGTTCCGCAGCACCTATGACCACTAGATGCTGCTGGAGGTCCAAAAATTCCAGCACATAAACATATTTTGTACAGTTACCCCAACTGCTGGTTTTTTGTATTGACATTGAATTAATGTGAAATTGAACAATCATAGTGTAGATTGCACTATCAACTCTATTACATGGCATGCTACAAGGTAAGGAGGTCTTTTTCAACTTTTGGTTATCTCAAAATGTGATTTTGTTTCTGATAGTAGAATATTATTGCCATCTATCCCAGAAAAAAACTGCCTAATCATCTTCAACATTCTGCAGCAACATATTTCCAGAACAGTTGGAAGCCAACATGGTATAATTCTGCCATTTTTACAAATCCAAATGAAGTGTTATTTTACTCAGTTCTGCGAAAGCATTTTCAGTTTTCATGGTCAAAGGGTACGGATAAAACACGTATAGTACAACCTGTATTTAGTTCACTCCAAGTGACTATCATTCCATTGCTATTGGTCTCCCTACCTTCTGAAATTAAAAAAGGAAAAGGTTCTATAAAATATTGTGCACTCCTGATCTATTCTTGTAGACCTCAGGAATGTTTGAAAACTTTGATAACTTTTTGATAAGCACTGAACATTTCCCAACATAACCCATAAGGTCTCAGGGGCATTTACACTTTCAATTCAACAGGCTTTGTTGATCATAGCAACATGCTAAGAAAAAAATAGTATTTCTCAGTGTGTGTGTGTGTGTGTGTGTGTGTGTGTGTGTGTATAGATATTGATAAATTAGCATCGATAATAGCAAAATGCTAAGAAAAACATATTACATATTTTAGATAAATAAACTAGATTGATGGATAGACACACACAGATGTATTTTAATCCCAGTTAAAGGTAACCCTTTTCCAAATGCAGTGGGTAAGATAAGATTGACAATGAAAATTAAGGCACATGCATTGTCTGTGTTACTTGCAAGATTGCTTTGCTTAGTAATGTAGTTTCTGTCTGCTAGTATTATAATGAATGTTACTTTTACACATAGATCTAAGTCTCCAATGTCTTGCTGCAGCTGCTTTATTATCAAAGTCCTTTTTTCTGATATATTTTTTTTAATTAAGAGTACCCTTTGTTATTCTAGCATAGGATTTCTGACACCATCCAGTCAAAAGCTATTTGAGTCTGGTAACTATGGATAAAAGAGAAAACTGAGCTGTTTGACCGTTTAATCCAGAGAAAGGGGGAAGCTAGTATTCTTGGCTATTCAGATTCCGAAATTAATCTCTCTTTTGAAGGATAAGAAGTGGCAGCTTAGATTCCTGAACCATCTTGGAAGATTCTCACTCATCCAGGTCATGATTGTCCCAAAGGTGGTTTTCAAAAGACAACTGGATTTTCTTCAAAGATGTTTTGCTTCTCATCCAAGAAACTTCATCAGTCCTGACTGAATGGTGGGAGTGGAAGCACACACACACACACACACACACACACACACACACACACACACACACCATTCAGTCAGAACTGAAGAAGCTTGGATGAGAAATGAAATATCTTCAAGGAAAAAAAGAAAGTCCAGTTACCTTTTGAAAAACATCTTTGGGGCAATCAAAACAAACTGGAACACTCATCCTGCAACTTAGGTGTAATGTTAGGACAGTACAGATCCCCAGAGGTGTAGCCACTTATACTTATGACAGACACCTTGATTACAACAATTTAAAACAAAACTAGCCACTAGGGATCAGCTCTCTTATAAACAAACACATTATGGGTTATTTATGGTTTGTCTACTGTTTATTTAAAAGGCATAACCTGAAAAATTATCTGTGAATTACTGATCCTAAGAGAAGTTTACAGCACAGCAGCACTATCAATTTCCATATACAGTTCGAATCAGTGCCCTTGGCTTTTTTTTTTTAAATAAATATATTATCAAAAGCAAGTTATAACAATATAAATGCATAAATAATTGAAATATAAACAGTTGCCTTTGGTTTACAAACATTCTTCAAGTTGTCCTGAACCATGCCAAACTTTCAGTAGCAAGTGTCCTACATTGCTTGTGGAGCTGCAATCAAAAATATACAAGATATTTTAGCATGCCCAGATTCTGAAATAATTGTTTGAAAAGAATAAAAGTTCTATATAGGAAATAAAAGTTTTTCATGCATTTTATAATTACTTATGGATCTCATAGTTGAGGGTGTAATGGTTGGCTGAAAAACTGGTCCTTTCACTATGACTTATAATTATTTTGAACAAGGAATTAATGAAATATTTTACATGATATGTTTAAACTTAATTCGTACCATAATGACTGCGGCTGTCAAATAGAACTCTGTGCACCTTTTTAAAGTGCTGTATTCACTGCTATTGGAGTCTGTGTGGATATTTCAGGGGAAAGAGAGGGTATGGGCCTGACTGTGGAGCAGAAAGTTGACACCGGATTTTGAGTTTTCCGGT